GTTTTGTGTCTCCATAGACTGGTACCTGCGGCAGCCGTGAGTAGCCGCCTTTAAGGAGCAAAAAAGTGTGTCTTTTCGTTTAGGGCCGAGACTGTCCGAACCTAAAGAAGGTTTGAATTCAGGTCAAGTTACTCGTACCGCTTGAGAGGCGCCAACATAAAAGGGTTTCCCAAGTGCCAACTATCAGGAATCTGTAGACTGCAAAGAATGGTCGGAGTTTCTATCACTTTTAAAACATTTTAAAAATACTGACTTCGACAAAATGCTGTCTCATCTAAAATGGACCAGCAATAATCGTAGATACAAAAACACATTGATTACACTGATAAACACAGGATTTGTGACATGACAATTTTTGGGTGCAGCTTATGTATTTTGAGGCCTTTAAATCAAATCTAAAAACAGAATTTTGCTATCACCCACAGATATTCAGTAACATCTACTTTTATGAATTACAATACATAACATCTCATATTGCCCCATTTCTCGGCGTTTATGCGATGACGCACATATATAATGTTAAGACCTGTCTATTCCTGTTTATTTTATGCAAGCTCTATGTTTAGAGAGCATACTGCGTTTATTAGTAGACTAATAGCAGCCGAGTCAGTTACGTTTTCTGTGTTGTAGAGTACTGACATGTACTGAATACTGTTAATTTTTGTTAAAACGGTGTGTTGTTTTTAGTTTATTGTGAACGAAATTAGCTTTATGGAAAATGCCTAGAAATTGTGTAAATAGTGCGAACAGTTTTTGTTATGTGTGCGGAAAGCTAACTTTTAAATCCCAAAAACGTTCTTTTACTCCCCTTGTGTTGAAAAGCATACGAACTTTATTTTGGGAATAAAGTTGGCGACCAAGATAAACTATGGCGACAATCGTAAAATGCCCTTTGCAATCATATGAAAATATGCGAGTTCTGTTAGAGCATATCCGTTATAATGAATATAGATGGGCCATATGTGCAGATTTAAAGGTAATAGCCCTTCTTCTTGGAATGCAACTGGGATATACCAAATATTGTTGTTTTTTTGTGAATGGGACAGTCGTGCGCGAGATCGTCATTATGAGCAGAAGGAGTGGCCACTACGTCAGGTATTAACTCCGGACCTCAAAAACATTGCTCATGAGCCGCTAGTTGATCCCAAAAAGGTGTTACTCCCCCCTTTGCATATTAAGTTGGGACTGATGAAAACTTTTGTGAAAGCTATGGTTCGAAATGGAAGAGGGTTTCTGCATTTAAAACAAACCTTTCCAAGACTTAGTGAAACAAAAATTAAAGAGGGCATATTTGTGAGAACACAAATGCGGAAAATCATGAAGAATGATGTATTTGACAGTGCTCTAAATGAAACTGAATTACGAGCTTGGAACGGTTTTAAATCAGTTACTGCAAATTTTTTAGGCAATGTGAAGGCGGACAATTATAAAGATATATATTGTGAACTAATTAATGCTTATAAAGGAATAGGATGTAACATGTCTCTAAAAATTCACTTTTTGAATTCTCGTCTCGATTTTATTCCGGAAAATTCAGGTGCGGTAAGTGATGAACATGGTGAACGGTTCCTCCACCAAGACATTTCTGCTATGGAAAAACGGTATCAAGGCAAATGGAGTATCAATTTGCTTGCTGATTATTGCTGGACATCGTTAAGAGATACTTCAGGAGCAACATATCGCCGTAAAACATCGACAACAACATTCTGAGATTAAAGTTTATTCGAGTGTTTATTAGTACTCTTACACACATATCCTCATACAGGGTGTAAACGTTATGATAGTCATTATTTAAATGGTTGATAGAGAGGGTTAAAAGATGCAAAAAGTTTCATATAACATGGGGGTCAAAACGGCATTTTTTTGGAGAAAAGCGACTTTAAAATAAAATAAATCTGACAACGCCGCAAAACTATGCAAAAGGATAACTAACCACTGTTACCGTTTGGGATCGATTGCCGGGTCAGTAAGCGTGATGATGACCGACGCGCTGTTGTCAAGTGGTTTCAAATATTCAATTTAATGAAACTTACTTCCTTACTGACTACAAATTTTGGCTTAACCCTCTATTGTACACACCTAGTTGGACTGGTTAAAAAAATTGTTTTGGTCGAAATATGATTTGTTTATGAGCATAAGAATAAACTTTATTTGGATATTTTATCTTCAAAACAAACTATTTTTGAACTAAACATATGTATATTGAAATATACATTACACCATTCCGTCAATAAAAAACTGAAACTAAAAGAGCTACAAAAGCTTGAATAACCACAAATGAAGTAACAAATACATTTTCAAAATAATTTCATGTATGAAAATGAGTAAAGCAGTTTCTATCCGGCACAAAACATAAATAACACTTGCATTTGGTACACATTACTTTGGTAATCTTTTGGCAACGTCCATTCTTACATCTTCCAGTTTTTTGTTCATATGTGGGCCAGTGAGACATTCCATCTGTTCTACAATCTATATTTGGTCGAACACTAGATATCTTTTGTTTCTTTACGGGTGGTAACTGAGAACTTGATGAAGGGCGACCTCTTTTGTTTTGTTTTCCCACCCAACATAAACTTTGTGCTAAATCACTTTTGAAATCATAAAGCGACATTTGGTGTTTTTTAGATACGCCACAGTCGTCGGAAGCGCGCCTATATAAAAGCCAAGAGATAACTACACACATATCCATCAAATGAAAGAAAATACGCAAGTAATATTTTCTTGATCTTATTTTCGTTCTGTACAATGCCAGAAGAGAGTCTATCAAATCGACACCCCCCATGAATTTATTGTATATGAGTATAATACTGGGACATTGGATGTTTACATCTTGTCGGTTTTTGCGGTCAAATCTTTTTATAGTAGTCACAGGATAGCCGCCTATGAATGTACTTAGCAAAGTCACCACTTTATTGTCCTGCCATTTGACTATCTTTAGTTTAGTGCTTCCACAGCTTGTAATTCTTTCCTCGAAGCTCCCCCTGCCCTGTTTTTTCAGTGATTTGTCGGTTGGCAAACCACTGGATGGCACTCGATTCTCCCGTATAGTTCCCACACTGTAAATACCATTCCGAGCTAATTCGATTTGAAGCTCGGGGCTACAAAACCAGTTATCAAAGAACAGCAGAAAATTCTGGTGTTTTGGAATGTTTTCAGCCAGTCGAATCACTATATTGCTACTAGCACTTATATCCGGTAGATTTTCCGGTTGATTCGTGGCCCCACAGTAAAATTCAAAGTCGTAGACAATACCACTAGCACCTGCCAAACAAAATATTTTGTAACCCCATTTTTTTGGTTTTTTCGGATTGTACTGTTTCAGGGAGCTACGGCCTTTGAACGGTATTATCTGCTCATCGACAGAAAGGTGCTGTTCCATGGGAATTAGTCTCAAATTTTTCCTTATACTCTCCACGAGCTTCCTGATTTTGAAAAGACGATCTGGTGGTTCAACTGGCAATGTAGAATTATCTGCAAAATGCAGAAACTTTTTTATTTGTTCCCACCTCCGAAGAGGCATTACGTCTGCCACTTGAGACACTCTGCAGGCACTGCTCCAGTATCTTCTGGTCCCAGGCACTGTAATCAGTGACATATAGAAACAAACGCCAATAAATTGCTCTAGCTCTTTGGAATCCATGCAGAAATTTAGACCTATGTCCTTCTGTGCCGCATATAGGTTCGTTTGTTCTACTATGTATTCCAACAACTCCTTATCGACTAATTTGTAAAAATAATGCAATGGTGTCTCTACAGATGTCTGAGAGGGTAGTTGAGCTTTCCAAGTTGGCAAATCACTGGGCTCCTTATTAGAGCTTTGCCATTTCAAGGGAGCCTTCTTGATTTTCATGTTTTTGACCCCACCTTGAACAGAAACAGCAGACACACGGAGAATCTTATCTCGAAGTTGTCTGAGAGGGATCTCGTCATCTTCATTCCAACTACCTAGATTATTCCTTTCCTCATTGTTGTTTCCTTGGTTGTCAGCATTGCTTTCCTCTCCACTACTGCTCTCCAATAAATCCTCTTCTAAAAAAAAAAAAAAATAGCAACACAACTTATTATTTCCATAGTATTTTACCTACCATCATAATCTAGCAAAGTGGGTTTATATGTTTCGTCTAATAAGCTATCATCACTATCGAAATCCTCCTCACTATCCAAGTCCGGTACTAATACTGTAACATGTTCCTTTTTTCCATAAAATATTTTTGGATCCATAATTTCTGTAAAGTCGAAACCAGAATTGAACAATGTACATTCAAATATACAGTGACGTCAGTGGCCTGAAAAGTACAATAATATAAAATATATATTATTTCTAACATGCCTTTGTAGTAAACATACCTCAATAAGTATTCAAAAAAAATTTACGCTCAATTCTGCCAACAAAACACACTAATAATATTATTTGATATCACGTGTTTACCGGCGGCGTCCAAACAGCACGACACTTTCCGTACAGACTGAAATAACTGCCCGAAGTGGGTGATTTACCAACGAAATCTACCGAAAACGATCGATCACACGTGTATATTCAGATATACACTGTGTAGCTTCGACTTGCGGGTCATAAGACGCAAAGGACAAATTGTTTGATATTTGTATATTTAAATATACATGATACCATACAGGGTTCTTAGAAAAACTTAATGCCATTTATCTGTTGTTAATTACCCAATTTAAAAACATTTTAGATTAGATTATAAAAATTAGTAAGATTGTGGTCGATATAAGACACTTAAAGTTGTAAACTATAAAGCCATTTAGACAAAAATCTATTAACTTTTGGACCATGAGTCATATGAACTTTTTGACTTGTTTTGACCCCCCTATTACCCATTTCAATAATGACTACCATTACGTTTACACCCTGTATTTTACGAGTATAAGCAGCAAATGAAATGCCTTGTTGCAAGAAAACCGTGGGTGATAGGAAAAATTGAATGTTATTTCTGACTTTTTGGCTACGTTTTTCATAATAACCACCGTGTTTTGTCCATGTCACCAAAAATTATTTCAATTTTGTTCACCAGTGTTATCAGAAGATCGAAAACACTCTGTAATGTTTAAGAATGTCGTGTCACATCGAGTTTGGGTAGGCCGTATGGACAGTAGGCATGCTGTTGCAATTTATTTTCCATCAGTACTTTGAAATCAAATAGAATGTTGGATGTTTTATGTTAATTTTCTTATGCTGGCTTTACAGTTGAGCAATATGATGAAATTTCACCTTATCTTCAGTAAAACATTTTTTCATGATTTTTCGAATTCTAGGCTATATTTGTAATGTCACGTCGGATTATCAAAATTATTTGTGTTTTTTATGACAATACACAAGCTTTTTACCACACGTATTACGAAGGAAACGTATGATAATATGATGTTCAGTAGGGATGCTTAATTTTTTTATCAAACGACGAGAAGAAAATAGATAATGGACGCTCAGTTACAACACCGCACCGAGGGAGCGAAACTTGACCTAGAATTCAGACAAATACTATGCATTATCAAAAGCTATATACCTACTGTGAATTCCAATGAGCAGTTGCTGCTGTTCAAATCGTGGCTAGAGAAACTGAGTGCTCCCACAACGGAAGAAGCTGAGAGAAATAGGTATCTGTTAGAACTCGCAAGGCAAATCAAAGATGGGGACATTTCACCGCCATTTGATCGAGAGCCACCTCCTGGAGCATTCCAGAATTTTCCGAAGCTGAACTACTATTTATATAATCCAGAGGTGAGGAATTAATATCAGTTCACATATTGCTTGTCTTGAAGCATAGCATCAACGATCGTGTAGAAACATAAACTTAATAACTTTTGAGACAAGGCGAAAACCTCGGCTCCGTTGGAAGGAGTATAGGAATTTTTTCATAAATACGTAAAGCTTATTTCCTCTAAATTTGATCGTTTCTCGGTCAGAAATGTGGTTTTAGACAAAGATAAGTCAAAGTCCAAATCAACGCCCAAATATTCCTTTACCTAATTGGGCTTATTTTGATTTAAAGGATCATTATTTCAATGATTTTGTTAAAAAATATTCCCTTCACATTTCTTCCATGAAATCACCTTCGTAACAGTTTTAGTGAGTAGGCGATATGTTGGTCTCTATTATGGGACCCCTCTTATAACTACCCATGGACTTTCTCCGACTCACAGATATCTTTAATTGGGAAGTGGGATAGTCATAGCTTTGTCTGACTCCGGGATGTTCTTTCAGTAAATGTGTAGGACGTCCTCATGCATTTCCTAGTGATGTACTTAAATGATATTCTAGGGATGTTCTTCGAGTACGTGCGCAAGATGATTTTTAGGTCCTCTGCAAACATTTAAAGGAGTACAAAAGGAGAACCACACCAATATTGTTATTGAACCCTTCTGAAAAAGATCAGCCATGGATATATTTGTTGGATTCATAGCTTTGCAAACTTGGGGTCAGGGCATGATAGAACGTTGGGACTGTCGGATGCATTAAATGCATGAAACCATAAAATTCAGTACCAAACAATTGGTTTTTACATTTTTACGAACCTTTCAATAACATATTGAAATTGAAATGAATAAATGAACTGGTAATCTCACAAGGTTACCTGTTTTGGAGGTTATGATCAGTTAACGTCTTGTAAACGCCTCACTCAAGTGACGCAATAATATTATTTGTCAGACGAATTGAGGTGAATACTTACTTTTTCCACAAAAAACACTGTCACTGTTAGACACGCACAAACATGGAATAAAACAAAATGGAGTCGGTAAGCGGGTGTCGTACCCACGGTCGTACCATTATGCCATTGGTTGTTAGGACACGCACATGCGCGATAGGCTGAAAACTTCTCCTGATGGGTTGTGATGTAATTTGCTTAACACGTGCCAAGAATATCCCGTTTTATTAACGACAAACTTAAGGCGAAGGTAGTCTTTGAACGGACCTCCCAAATAACAAAAAATTGCCTATATAAAAGTGTCACCGTTAATGAGATACTGAATTTTTTCTTAAATTTAAAAAAACAACCTTTTCATCTGTAGTCTTTAGCTGCATGTACAGATAAGGTTATACTTGTTCATTTTTTCTATAATATATTTCTAGATAGTTGCTTTATCATATACAAATGCAATGGAGTTAAAAGATATTAAGGAACCATGATCAAATAAGGACTATTTTGGGATTTATAACCTTCTGATATTTTTTCCTCAACGTCGACCATATGTAGTGAAACAAAAATGTACGTGGCTATAACTGCATTATATTGAATGAAAAGATTGAAAACAGATTTCAGAAAGGCACGACCGATCAGTGACATGCTAAATAGTACAAAGCTACATTATTATTACCTGCTCCTGATATGATTTTATGAAAGTTGACACCCTGTATATTTTCATGTTACTGGGCCCTGCAGAAGATCTTTCGAGATTTTTTTCAGTTAAGCTCCAGAAAGTATCCTACTGGACTTTTTATAATTGACATCTTTAAAATATATTTTTAATTCCAGGAATCACCAATCAAAAGCTTCAAAAACATCTCTTGGCCGGAAAACGAAGGACCTATGAATGAAATGTCTTTTCCGGTGCCATCTCATCCAAATTTGTATACTTTCAATACCCCAAAGTGTTCCAACGAGGGACCTTTAGCAAATCAATATAATACTTCACCAAAACCACCACATCCTCCACACCACTCTCATGCTAAAATGAACCTTGAAACCGCTCAGATACTTCCACTGTTCGATGATCCAAATTATCTGTTTCGTCAGATGCAAGATCCTTCTCATGGAAGTCACATGGAAAATATGAAATCCATGTCCCAAGGTAATGTAGTACTTTTTAGCTTCTGGTTAAGGGTGGCATAGACACTTATGCTACTCGTACACGTATTTTACTTAAGCAAATTGGTACACGCTCAAAAAAAACCTCCGGTTGATTGGCTTATACTGAACTAAGAAATGTATCTCACATAGGGCGCTCTATTAGAAAATTGATTGGATTTTTGTAGTTCATATTTTCCTGATAATTCATCAAATATCCCCGCATTATCTTGAAAGGATCTAAAGTTTCTTGTTTGATAATGACACTACTGTGAAATTGGATGTTTTATAGCGTTTTAAATTGCTGTCCGTGACACTAAACTTGCATTTAGAATTATATCTCTGTCATCTGATTCTTCCATCATCGAATCCAAATCTGATGTGTTACAAGCAGCAATTATTGTTGAACAACGTTTTTCGCTACAGTTTTTGCTCCAAAACACCTTTAGGGACTGACATTTTCAAATATATCACGGACTGTTTGGTTACTACTGTAAGTTGTAACTCGCTGTAATTTCCCAGAAACATTTCATACTTCGTTTTGTTTTAATAACCACTTCCCAAAGTTACAAAATATTCAAAAAATGTCCTTTTTGTGTTTCTATTGTCTTTGAATGATATAATCACATTTCAAATAAAAAATAACCCTTACTATCTCATTTATAGAAGACATTTCACAGATTTTTAGCTATTTCTTCTATTCAGAGAATTATGTTTTCCAGTTCCCATTTTTGTCAGTCCGTGACATCAACATTCACAAATCTTCACACTAAAAAATCAAATTAAACTAATTCGTGATTCATCAAAATTAGAGAAAAATGTGCTAAACTGATCGCTGATACTAATTGCTGTGTCTCTTGCCATTTTAAACCAATATGACAGAAAATATCTAAACGTGTTGTGTGATTGTTAGTCCTTGATGCGTGAAATTGCTCTGCGCTGCCCTCCTCTGGACCGGATCTTTTTAGATTGAGAAACAGACAATGTATGGTTCGGAAATATAATCTCGTCATCCAACCAAATCATCTCTAATGGGGATGATGAATGAAAATCTTTGCGCCTTGGAGGTCAAATTAATTACACATGCACATGCACTTTGGGGTTTCATTGCTAAGTATTACAAAGCGGGGTTTTTCGAGCAATTTGCAATGCCACATGGGCTGTCTCAACTGAGATACACATACATACTTAAGGATTACGTCAACCTCAGTCGCAGCGAAGCGATAGTAGCAGTAAACAATCAAGACCTCTGCTCGCTTTACTTCTTCACTAGATTCAACTGACGAACATTAGACAGTGACTAATGGGCAAAGGAATGTTTACTTTTAGGTCATTATGAAGAGCACCATAAAAACCCACCTAAACCAAATCAGACCGAAACGTCGAAGCTAACGGTTAAAGGTAAAAAGAAGAAAGTCGACAGGACATCTGCGCCTGTCTGTCAAAGCGATCCCGCAGTTGGGACCAATTTAAGCCCAGCACCACAAAATACGCTTGAACCACAACATTTGAAATATGATGTGAAAGAGTCGAAGAGAAACGAGGTTGCAGAAGATAGTTCTTGGTGTGACCTGACTGATACAAGCCTGATATCTATGGGACAGTTAACATCGTTTCCTTTTGTGAACTCTATTCAGACGCCATACAATAGTGAGGAGAAATATGAAAATGATACGGATTGTGATGATATGAGTAAGTCATTACTATACAGAGTGGTTCGAAAACATGACAGCATCCTGATCTGAAAACAAATGAAAAGGGAAAAGGACGTTTATTTAACTTTACTTTTTTGATTATGGTACATATTCAAAGCAAAACAAATACCCATCACTCAGTAGTTCCCTAAAAAGATCATTATTTCCCATTGATCTACGCGTACCAAGTTGATTGTTTGATTTTGGACGTGTTTTGTATGATACGCGAAGTGTGTCCAAAGATATTTTTTATAATGTTTTGTTGTGAAATGTTTGAGTATGATATTTGGAAAGTGAAGTGTATAATTCCGGTCCATCGATTTGATATATTATTAATACTATTATTAATACTAAAACATACTATATTCCCGCGTCCAAAAAACTATCCGTGATGAAATGAGATATGGTAGCGTCATCTACGAGAATTTATTACTGCCATGCGTCTCGTCTCCGCGCTAATTAGAAATCTAGTGTAACTGAAACACTTCTTACTATCCTAATTTATTACTTTTACACTAATGTATAAAACTTGTACTTATTTATGACAATTTATAACAATGTTGAATGGACTAAGGCTTCCCTGCCCTGTAGTGCCCCGATAGCATTAAATATTTATTAAATATTTTTAACAAATATTTGTTAAATACTTGTAGCGACAGATTTTTTAATATTTAATAAAATATATACCCTATATATTTATAAAATATTCATTATAGATATTTTTAGTATATATAATTCATATATTTTTGCGATATTTTTTCCAAATATTTAAAAAATATATGAGGAAAGATTTTTAAATATCAGTTTTATATTTTGACGAAATATTTAAAAATTTTCATACTTAAATATGTATGGATTTTCATCATCGATCTGATACATATTTTCAGTGTATATAGAAAATTCTCCATTGGTTATTTTAGCAAAACCTGTAGGAATGCTTATATAAAATTGGGTGTATAAAGAAAATTCATTCTAGATATAATGCTTTAATTTGCTAGAAAAATATTATTAAAAAAAACATTCTAAGCCTCTTCTGCATCTTGCAAGTCCACTCCGCTGGAAAAAAACCAAAATAACTAATTATGAAGTATTATTGAATACACAAGCTGCTTTCCAGTTTATTTATGGGAATATAAAATGCAGTGGAACAATATTGGTGCAGACCATGGTGAGTTACTCCGAGTAGCTCAACTGAGCCACTGAAAAGCAGCTCTATACGTATAATGCACCTAAAAGGACACCACAAGGCTAGTTATTTATGGTCTTGTGAATACCTTTATACTCAACTGACAATAATGTTTACCATTCAGATAAATTAACCTATGTAATTATAGAAAAACTTACCCTTTTCCACAAAAAAACAGTCAAATAATGAACCACTTGGAGGTACACAGGAAGCACGCTATCATAGTGAATGTCAAATGTAAAATGGATGCCTCAGGCTAGTTTGCTATTATCCCATTGGTCGCTCGAGGTCACACGCACATGCGCCATAGCCGAAATAATTTAATGAATATTTTCTAAATATTGGAGATCTAATATTTTCCATTGATTGAAAAGTAAATATTTAATGAATATTGTAAAAGAAATATTGTATTTAAAATATTTAAAAGATATTGAATAAATATTTAATTAAAATATTTATTAAATATTTGTTTAAGAAAACAAATATTTAAGTAAGATAAAAATATTATTAAATATTAAATAATTATTTAATGAATATTTCTTGCTATCGGGGTGAGTCATCGCCCGCTGTCGATTGCTCAACTGTGTGGGTAGACTTGACTCTGACCAGCTCCTTCCGCCATCTGCTCGGATATTTATTCCCCTACCGACGAGTCGAGAGAGATTTCAGCGTTTTCGAGAACGTCCATGACAATGGTCTAGATGGCAGCAGGTGTTTCCAGACGGGTCTCGAATATTCTTGAACCTCGGCCAAGATGCAAGCCTACAGGCCCAGTTGCGTAACTCTACTCGCCTAGTGTCGACATCACCAGGCCCACGGCATGCCACCCAAGGTCCTAGCTATTCGAGGAGGGCATTACGCTACTTTGAAAAGCTTCGTGTCTCATAGATGGCGGTAGCACATATTTGGCTACATTGTCATCGATGAAAAACTTACCTTTTCAAAGTAGATTTCTAATTAGAGCGGAGACGAGACACTTAACTGTGACAAATTCTCATAAATGTCACTGTTAATGATACTACACGGTATCTTCATTTCACCTCGGATGATTTTTTAGACGAGGAAATATACCTATTAATAGGTTGACTATCTTCAGGTAGAATACGTTAATCAATGGTTATAGTTACAGTGAAACTTAACAATACTGATTGGCTTTAGGTGACACCTCAGCATCGTCAATCAGGTCAACTCCGGATGTGACTGAAGAGACATCTCGTCAGGTAAGGTTGAGTCAAAGTAGAATGCAAATTGGTGTATGATTTTTATATTTACGTTAAGTTAACATCAAGCTTTCGGCACAACTGACATTGAGACGAAAAATTGTACAAAAGATTCAGTCTAAAAGCCCTGGAACTTCCAACAACTTCCATATCCCCCTTGCAAATCCAATTGGACCTCAATATTTGTATATTTAACATGATTTCATGAACAATTTTGGGAATTTCAAATATTTGGTCACTTCTAAGAAAATTTGCTGCCCTCCGCTATTCAAAAAGTTCTTGGGCCACGCACAGTTTCACAAAAAATCATCTCTTGCCGATAATAGCCTCCCTCCTCTTGAGACAAATTCTTGCGGGGGGCCATGAATATTCTAAGCAAACACATAATATTTGTGATGTTTGGCTACGTCCATCAAGATGTATCAGATCAGTGTGTTTAAGCTTCAAGAATGTATCCGTAGGAGGTGAAACTCAAGGATACTAATTTCGTTCCAAACGATTGGAAGAAGATAATAGGAGCATTGCAGCTTAGATTGACGGAGACTTTACACCAGAACAACAATTTAAATAGGATCGTAGACGAGCTGAAGAACGAAATAAAATTGGCTAAGGTATTCAGTATTTTCAAGTTCTATACTAAACTAACTACTGTATTAGTGCTCATCTGCTCATGGAACAAAGTTTACTGACGTTTAGCTCTGTCGTGTAATCGTTCGATTAATGTTGATATCACATAATTTGCTGAACTAGCCGAAACCGTACAGTTTGCTTTAATCTATTTTAGGATCAGTACCATTGCAGTCATAAGAGGACAAGTGATCTGAACAGGAGGGAAGTAGAAATGATGAAAAATTTACAAAGTGATGCAATCAAAAAAATTGAAGAAAATCACCAGGAGAAATTAGATGAGCTTGATAACAGTTACAAAAATAAAATGGAAAAATTGCGCGGTGAATACGAGACGAAAATTACTGATTTATACACAGCTCGTGAGAATGACATAAAGGCCAAAGATGCAGAAATTTCGAGGTTGACTGACATCATACAGCAGCAATGTACAAGGTATATCATAAAACATATATTATTCTAATTGTTATGACGCGTGACAATACAGAGTTGCCGGAGCACATAAGGAAAGAACCTAATTAGCAATCGCTCTCGCACATTAGCCACACATCAAAGGATTTTCCCCTACCCCTACCCACCTCCCATGAAGGAACGTTCACTCCCTGGGCATCGCATTCGCAGAAGCTGGAGTCTAAGTTCTAGCGCAAACCGGCATGGCTGTTATGTATAAAACCTATAAAACGTCAAAAAAAAAAACAACAACAACAAGATGTCAGATGGCAGACCAGGTAGTTTTCAGGGTGCAAATAATTCATTCCGCGTTTGCTCGCTATGATAGCTGTGAGCGTCCATCTATGGAGGAATGACTCAACTACACGCATTGTTGGTTTCAGAGAGCAGAAGTACATGGTTTTTGAAGTCGAGTAATTTGTAGTGTTAGATATTTACTATGTAAGAAAATTATTACTGAATTTGCTGCCAATGACGTATATCTATTAACTGTGCCCGACGGGTAATTTATATGTTGTCTTTTCTGAAGGTTATGTTCAAAGTCATAAATTACGATTTTTCCCGTTTTTTATGTTTTCAAATTCTTTGAGGAGCATCATGGGAAATCGCCACCGTGCCCGTGTGCCACTAAGCCACATCACAGAAAAATTAGGAATGACGCATCACACATCAAACATTTTCGAAATGCCTCACATCCAGGCGCTGAATTGTATTTTCTATTGACATCGCAAAATAGATTTCTATAAAATTTAAATGACTGGAAATGAAAAATAATGCAATAACCTTTTCACTTTCATAAATATTTATGTCTGTATCATATTTTCTCACCTGTGCCTTTACCAACCAGAGATTTTCTTTTCTTATCTCTCTCATTTTTGGAATTCACCAAATTTGCATATTATGAAAGTTCCAGAATGTATAAGAAAAACTGAATGCGCAACTAATTTCTAGCTTTGAATCTCAAGTAAGTGTATTTGAGAGAAGTAACCAATGGAATTATCATCAACTCACCCAAAAATGCCATCTTTGAAGCAGATTTTACATTACATCAGAGCCAAATATTGACAACTGAAGCATCATGACATTTAGGCAACGCATACAACTACAAAAAGAGTTTAGAACAAGTGTCCATCAGCTAGTGCTAAGTTAACATCTTGTAGAAAAACCTTCATAATGTCACAAAAAAACAATATGATGTCAAAAAACTCGACATAATGTCACTTTCAAGATACGTAATACTCGTGCGGAAAGCACTAGTGAAATCTCCGTAATACCGCTATCATATATGTCGACGTCCACTTAGTGAGCTACTAGCTTACAGCAATATAAACAATGGTCTTTGCACCGATTATACAGGGTGCTTCCGAAACATTCACACTATTCTAAGAGACCTATCCTCTGACGATTTTCTTAATATATATCCATACCTAATCATTTGGTTGAAGTGTTCCTCAAAAATTATTTAATAGTGTGTTTCGCTGGTATTAACTTTTGCACCATTTACGCACACAAAGTATTCAAATACTGCTGTTTTGAATACCTGGATTAATTTAAATATGAATACTTTTAAATATTCCAATTATCAGGAACATATGGGCACTTTAAACATGATTTATGTACTTATGTTATAAAAAAAATAAAAAATTCATGTCTATATTAAATAAAACTCAAAATAACATTTTTATACACAGTTTCGCAGTTAGGTTAGATAAATTAATTGTATAATAAAAAATATTTTTTTGATTTTTATTAGATTTTTATAGAAAATTAATAGAATAAAACTTATTAAGAAAATATGTGAATCGCACACAATGTACCTACATAATTAAAAAATAAAATTACCTATTTATATATCTACTTTACCTGGTACCACACTCAAGTTATAAAAGGCAATAAAATTTATTACAAAATAGAATGGCAATACTGCATAAGCACAAAGTGCATACGTGATCTAATCTTGCTCCTTAAGCGACCTCGCGAATTCAGAAGCACCACCAACCACACAAACAAAATAACTATTTTCGTTGTGCCATCCACAACCACCGCGAACGTGTTTTAACACGTTTATGTTGCGAAAAGGATTCCATCAGGATTCGAATACAGCGGTTTGAATATAAAATGGGTATTCGAATATTGGGATCCAGAAACGGTATTCAGAATCCAGAATACTGAGCACTGACCAAAAAAGTCCGTAGAATACATACACGCACGCACGCACATACACGCAGTGTATTCGAGTGTCAGCTAAATGTATTCTGAATAGGATTTAAAATACCGAATAATCTAATACTACCCAACTCTGCTAGCACGTCAAAAAGGTTGCCAGTTTGGACTGTTTCTCCTACGTCATGCTCCTACACTTTCCTCGATATTAGTACGTTTCTGGAACAGATAGTGGAAGTGAAAAGTATGATAAGTATATCAAATAGAAAATGTGCCAAAATACCAGTGGAGAACGTTGTAAGAAAAAACAATTTCTAGCGGTGTCCTTTAAGAGCCTCTGCATCTCCGAAATGAAGCGGCATTTCTATTTGACAGAGAACAAAATAGTCTTCGAATAGTCCACAGCATCATACTAGGATTATATCTCGCACGCCACGTAGCAGCGGATCAACCGCGTTCTATACTAACACTCGTGACTGAAGAGGAAGAGACCAGCAAAACACATCGCACGCCCATGCTAACGCGGCATCTTTATGAATATGGCGGGACATTCGCGCGCCGACTGTCAATTCGAAAAGATGCCGCGTTAGCATGAGCGTGCGATGTGTTTCACTGCTCTCTTCCTTTTCGGTTCTCTAGTACAGTATTTGCCTCAAATTATGCCTGTATGATAAACGTGCTGCTGTTAGTTAAAATTATGATAATGTCATGTCATATAATTGGATGAAAAACAACAACAAAGAACCTTTGACCTTCTTTTTCTCCTTCATAAACCAATCATTTATTCATCCCACCCTCCATATATGACCTATATATGGGATGCAGTTAGTTGTCGAGATCGTCCGTCTAGTACAGACCGTACATGCAAAAATATTGTCGGGCAGGATATGACCCTAATATGATGCGGTATAATCGGCAAATACATTAAAGCTGGTTAAAGAGGGATGTCCCGACATGACAACGTTTCCCTGTGGCGCGACTAATATATGATGTCGAGAAGTGGGAGAAGCATCCTTCGATATCTGGATATGGTGCCTATGTTTTCCTTCCATTCTCACAAAATCAGCTCGCAGGTAGTCCCAAGCCAGCAAACAAAATCACTTGCTATGTATGTTCTAAGAATGTCCTCTAATAGAAATATCACGTACTAAACACGTGAATAAATAACAATAGAATGTGCTAAGAATATATTACTAGCCCTTACCAACTTACCTTTTTCCACAAAAAACATAATGTCAAATAATGTACTACTTGGAGACACACACGATGCACGGTCCGTTAGATACGCACAGTCATATGGAATAAAACAAACTTGAAAAGTCACATTTTTCGACTGTTTTTTGACATTATGTATGTTTTTTATGGCATTAGGTAGGTTTTCCCACAAGATGTCAACTAGGAACTAACTGTCCTTCACTTCATGTTCACTTGTAGCAGGCGCGGAATGAACTATTTGCACCCTGCCATCTACCTAGTCAACAATAAGTTGAAATATTTTTGTTTTTTTTACATTATATAGGTTTTTTAAGTAATAAGTGGGTAGGTTTTTCATTATGCCATCAGCCGCTCATTCAGCTGATGGATGTGCTTAACATGTTCCAAGGATATCCCTTTTTATCGCCTGCCGGAATGTTATACTCTGACAAGATGTATCGGCATATCCTAAAAATGAATACTTTTAGCATGTAATATGTTATGAACATTTTCGTTCAGAATGTTTTAAATCGCATATTCTTGGAACGTACGTCAGGAGAATATGCTTTAAAGGATGTATGTGCCGGGAGCATGCTTTATTAGGACATATCGTTTAGGACCTAAAACGTACATTCCAAGAATGTGAATACACCTTTTCATTTTTATAGGAAAGAGTATTCTACCTATTTAACACATAGATGTAATATGCTCCGATATTCCTCTATATTCTTATGACAAGTCTCGAGAATTAGCAGGAACATTTTATTTCAGTATATCTAACGAAATAAAAAGTCTCAGAACTCAGTTGGAGAGCTCTATGTGCAATAATAATGGAGAAAGGGTCATTGTACTCCAAAAATGTGTCTCCAAAATGGACAAACTATTCCACAAGTCAGAAAAAGAGTATATGAAGCAAATTTCAAAATTGAAACAGGAACTGGAAATCAAAGATAGAGTAGCGCAGGTAATAAAGTATTATAGTAAATATAGGGATATATTCATGCCTATAATTCACAGTAAATTGTTTCTGAATATACAAACACCTCAGAAACAAACAAAACTGAATGGCAATGAAAGAAAATTGTAGTCTTATAATAATAAATAATAACTATTTTGTGATTTTGACAGTTGCAGTGAGTACAAAGTTATTGCAAAATGTGAGCCCACCATGCCTGAACAAAATACATAGTTATCTTTATTTTTTATTGAATGTATTTTTCAGATACAGCTAAAAACTCAAAAAGCTGAGCTGATCGCTAGGACTTTCTCGGAGAAGCAGAAACAATTTGACGAAATAATAAATAGTTTAGAAGTGAAATACATAAAGATGTTGGAACACCATGAAAATCAGGTCATGGAAACCAAGAAACAAGACGAAGAAAAAATAAATTCATTAAAAAGCTTGCTTCATAAGCATGACATTTCATTTGACATCTAATAATGTGATGTTTCGTACATACATATGTTCATATACACCTATGTAATATCAATGGTAATATTAAGTAAAAAATAAAGGCATTTTACATGGTTTTCTAGTTTATTTGAACTCAGGCGGTAAAATTGACACATGCATAGAATGCAGATATATGCTATGTTGCCAAGCTTGCGATAATTAAGCAAAAATAATTAAGTCCTATGATTGTTCGCTAGCATCGTTTAAAGTGTGTTTAAAATGTTTCACAATGTTAGTGATTTCTGGTTCATTCTTTTTCGTCGGCCATAATACAAGCGCAAGTTGCCATAATGGCATTGCTTCTTTTCCTTTCAGCGACTGTCAGGATTCAGCTTTAAAAAATCACACTCATAATGCACACTGTGCTTGTATGCGATTATTCCCAACAAGAAGCTTTTGACTATCTGAGACAAACCGTTCCTTTTGGTGATTCTATTCCTATCGCAGAATCGATTCGTTCACGGTTCCGATTCCGGCCTCAGACTCGATTCCATCTATTTGTTCATGATTCCATCGATTCATTCATGCTTCATACCTAATTATCTTTCAGATCGTTCCACATTTGGAGCTTCTGCAATCAGAAGCGTTACTCAAGCATAGCAATATTCGATTCCCAGCAGTATCGTTCCTTCCAGTTTGAACAAATATGATTCGCCGCACAAAGATTCGACTCGGGTGCAATCAACAAATTCATATACAAGTATTGACTTGTGAATGAGAATTAGGAAACCATCGGAATCGAAAACACCGGATTCGACTCCTACTACGGTCTTGTTGATCTGGAACGATTTGTTCAGGACCGACCCAGCTCTATATCAGAGGCTGAGTGTTATGTTTTGTATCAGGTACTGCCAAATAGTCACCCAAATAAATTAATGATATGATGTTGCCCAGCTACGCGCCGAACTAATGCGTTCCACTGAAAGTGATCGTTAGGAACTGCCAGAGATTAATTGTTTAAAGACTCGATTTGCTCTAATCTTGGCTTAGGATGGACTAGGGCCCGTATCGTCAGTCGTCCCTACAATTGTAGGGCGCCTTTATGGCCTCCTTGATTGTCATAGTTTTCTACTTCTCCGTGTCAGCGCTCTATTTTGAGGTTATGTCACAAACATCAATTTGGATCAAATTGTGCTTGGTTTTGAGTTATATCATGTTTTATCAGCCTGAAATTTTCTACAATTTCGAAGGAAAACAAATATTCACAATAGGAGAGCACGGGACAAGTGCAATCTAGAAATTTTTGAAGGATAGAAAGCAGTATGACAATCAAGGAGGCCATAAACGCGCCCTACAATTGTAGGGTCGACTGACGATACGGGCCTAGGAGTCTCTAAGGAATATCTAACAATTCACAAACCATTATTTTGGATGTTGGTTTGCAAATCAGTTGTCAAATTTATCAAACACGTGACAGAACTATCATATAAATCAAATCCAACCGAATAACCAAAATTTCTGTATTATGTACCGCGGTTATAATATAGTTTAAGATGACACACGGGTTGATGACGTCAGTTACTCGAATCGCTTGAACGCGTTGGTTTTAACCGCGGTTTTGTTGCAAGTTATTTATTTTAGAAAAGCGCGTATATAATTTCAGATTATTTTTATTATCACTTAATAATCGGTGCTTTTTCGTCTAGAACAGTGTATGGAAGGTTTAAAAACAAACCTTTCATAATATTAATGGGAGAAAGTTTTTTTTTACAAAAAATTCTTTTAATGATGGAACCATGGCTTTGTAACTATGATAACCTTCAATTCTCTAAACTTGTCCGCATGTTAAAGAAAACATTTATTGATTTAGCAGAAATGATACGAAAAAGAGATGAAAAAAGATATTAGCAAAACCGTATACAGGTGGACATTATCCAGTGAGTTTATAATATGAACTACATTAACGGTATAAGAGCCATTGCCCATGCGCCTAACTGATCTGGTTGCTACAGAAACAAAGCTATTGCAAAACTAGTTTAACTGTCTTTGTTACTTCCACTTGGCAACGTTGCAATAGTGCAATCCAAACATGGCGTTGAATAGTTAACGTGTAGTGATATGCGGACAATAAGTTTTAGCCTTTTAAAATGTCCAGTACCCCATCCAGTCGTAGGAATGGTGCACAAAAGATTCGATTAACGAGTAAGTTGTAAATTAATCACATTACCTAACTTTTCTGTCTATGAAACTTCCCTGAAACGTGCATTGTTTGAACTGTCAAACAATATGGCTTCATTCAGAAAAGTTGCCTCCCAGGATTATAACTTTTTATAGATACAATTTTAATGTTAATTTTTTTTTCTGTTCGCAGTATTATGCGCCAGAAATCTTGTGCGGAAAGATCTGTTCCGTAAGTATGCAAGAATGTGTATAACTTGATAAATCGCAGTACACTGCATTGCATTTTTTTTTCAACAAATTTCACTTGTAGGACTTCCTGATCCTTTCGCCAAGATATCTGTGGACGGAAGCGGTCAGTGTCACTCTACGGAAACTGTAAAGAATACTCTTGATCCCAAATGGAACTCGCATTATGATTTGTACATTAGCAACAGTGACACTATCACTATATCAATTTGGAATCACCGGAAAGTGCACAAGAAACAAGGCAGTGGATTCCTAGGATGTGTCAGGATAGTAAATTCTCTAATTCAAAGACTCAAAGATACAGGATGTAAGTAGAAATTGCAGTATGCATCGTAGTATTGGTAATTGGTGTGACTGAATAGACCCATTCTACACAATTTGACTAAATCTATGCAACACTTTATTTGCAAGGTTAGATCATTCTGAATTCTAATTTGCTCATAGCTAAGTTGCAACATGCATGTCACAGCACAGTAGAGGATAGGAGATAGGAGCACAAGAAACATTATTTTTGGGCATATATAATATTGTGTGCTTCTTAAAAATTCATCCACCTTTGGTTATACTGTTTTTGGAACACTATGGCATTAAATTACTGGAACATATACACTTATAATGGAGTTCTCTTTTGAAAGGTTTTAATTTGTGTAATTATGTACCACCATAAATGTGTCTGGAAAAACATCAATAGGTTGTAATAGGCTAATTAAACATATGAATGAAATAATGGGGAATGTGCCAAAAATTCTACTTCTATCAAATATCAATATGTTGACTCCAAAAGTACAATATTCTGTGTTTTCTTTTTAGTAAAACCAGTATCCCAAATTTTAAAATTGTGACATTACTCCTCCTTTGGAGGTTAAACTTCCACCATATATGAGGAAAATAACCTTGATTCTATTTTGACATGACATGAGTGGTAATGTTCTATTGGTATTTGGAATAAGGATCAAATAAAATATACTTCTGTTCCAACAATCAAAAACATATAATTTAACCATAGACATTCTTGGTAAATGGATATAACAATCTATTCCACTTATTAAAAATGTAATTTTATTTAGGTAGACAATTCAGACACTTGCAAGAACATCTAAAGCTGAAAACAATATTGGAACTGTAATGGCGAAATTTAGAAACAAAAGTTTGTCAGTTGATTAAAAAAAGTATGTATTTTACATTTTAATAGTTCTTTAGATGAAGAAACTGTTTGCAGTATAATAACTTGAACATTAAATTTTGGCTATTTTAGGTATGTAAAAGGAACATTAATGGTCTATTGTTTTGTATTTTCTCTTGAACTTAATATAATAATCATTACATACTGCATGGTCACTGATTTGTTACCTCTGTGCTGTCATTTTATTGTTTACTTTTCACATTATGTAAGGTGGATAATTTAGTTGCAACATACCAATAAAAGGAATAATTATCGAAAAGAAAGTATATCTTGTTATATTGCTAATTATAAGATTTCAATTTAAGCAGGAAATGGCTTGGAAAGTACAAGTTTTGCAGTTATTTTTAATAATAATTTGCTGTAATGACAGCTTATAAATCATCACAAAATATAAAGATGCTTAATTATGTGTGATGTGATGCAAAATATACAAAAAAATCTAATATTGCTTGATAAACAAATTTTAGAAGCAGTCTGATACTTGTTCTATATTGCTGTTGGATATCAAGGGAACATCTGGGTATAGAGCACAATGTGTAGGCTCTTTACACCTTATTTTTTTATGAGAATTATGGTCTGAAAATAGCAGACCCATTAAAAATCTGTTACCAAAAAAACACTATATTATTTGAAGAAAACATTCAATTATTTATCATTGATATAACTTGTTGTTCTGGATTTTGAAACATATTTTCCTTTTATTTTGTTTTCATCAATAGCTTTATGTATCTATGTATAAATGTATGTATGTACATTATGAACTGTATATTATATAAAAATGAGGAATTTTGATATGTAATATGGCACTCATAGCATCTTACAAATGCTGTTGACAAATGGACCCTACATTTTTTTGCATCTTACTACATGTCTCTATGTTTTTAATTAAGCATTAATAATTGAGTTCTAAACACATATTTTTTGATGTCACTTTTAAGTCAACTTTCAAGGTTTAATATAGTTTTATGTGATCCATGACTGTAGTTGCCATCACAGCCTGAATATCAGTAATGTTCTTTCTGCAAAACATGCAGTTTTAACTCATATGTTTTTGAAGACTGAAGGCCTGGGGAGAATAAGGATAGACCCCTTTTGCTTGGCCTATTGTCTCAGAAAATCATTAGTGCCATTAGTAACAGCTGTGCTTCATTCTGGCACATCTGCTATACCCCTTATTAATTAGATACTATGAAAACAAGCCACTTAATAAAAGGTCACAATTATTCATCTAATAAGTCCTTTGTGCTGAAACAAGCAGCCACCACTATGATTGCTTTAATTCTAAGTGCTAACAAAATTATACAGGGTGCTCTGCAAATCTGTTGAGTTTTAAATGTCAGTTGCCATCCCTACTATGTTACTTGCATTTTCTCATGTAAATGACTTTAGAAATAACCTAATATAGGACAGTCCTTTTAGGGAGTGAGATTAGCAACAATTCTGATATACAAGTAATTATTATGGTTTAAATAAATATAGCTTTAATTACTGTCAGCACAAAACTATTTATTCTATTATATATATTTTCTCATTCCAGTATGAACATTTCGATACATGATTATTTTTGAAATTCCACAAAAAGAATGTTATTTTCAACATTATAATTATTTCACTTTATTTGCAGATCAATGCTTAGATCTTGGAAAAGCATCCCAAGATGACAGTGAGCCTGTGAAGGGGCAAATTATAATTTCCTTACTATCACGCGATGGCCCTTGCGGTGGAACGCCCGTGGCTATTGTTGGCCCTTTGGGAGATCTGCATAGCCCACAAGAAGCGGTAAGAATATCACAATGAACTTATGGACATCCTTAATGCATTATTTCCTAAGAACTGTGTGAATATCCATATATGCACATGTCAATGTATGTCCAGTCCGTCACCATCACATCTGAACCACATTTCCTTGACATTTTCTGGTTTCTGGGTAATCAGGACTGACAGATTAGACTAACGTACATTAAACAGTGACTAATGGGCAAAGGTCCTAAGGGCCACCCAGACGAACAAATGACGAATAGAATACGGAAAGATGTAAACATTCCTACAGTTACTAACTGAAACCACAGGAAGGTTATAGGTATGTTTTTTCCGGGAAAATATAAAGGTTGTTCAAACATTGTGGGTAAATGAAAATATCTCGAAAATACGTTTCCTAGAGCAAATGTAGGACAAAGTTGTAAGGTTTGAAGACTATTTATATACATTTCTTAAATGAAACTCCTATTTTTGTCACCGGAAATGGATAGAGCGGGAAGTTTCACGTTGAAGTATGTTATCGCCCATAACCTTGACCATGATCTTCATTGGTATTTGAGGGTGTCCAAAAGTAGGAAAAGGACAAAATAAACATCTCGAAAAATAAGTTTCATGAAGAAAAATGTTGAGTAATAAAGTTGCACGGTTTGAGAAAATTCATCTAATGGGGACCCTGAAAGTGGCCTCGACTATGGCTTTCAAACAGTTTGGAGGTCAAGGCAGTTTTCTTGAATGGAGCCCTCAATTTTTAACACCTCAAATAAGAGCTAGATACTTTATGTACAAGTATGCCCATGACCATTATTTGAAGCTTGAGTGAATTTTTTAACGAGAAGCATGTATTCCTGACCATGGTCATTTTAAGATCAGACAAATTTTCAAGTGAACTTCCTACTTTTTGTTAAGGATATAAAAAAGCGAAACACTTTAATTAATTTATTGTTGCATTAAAATGTTGGATAAAAGATGTTCATTGCCAAAGTAATTATTGCATCATTTTGAAATACTCAAAATGCGATATGCATTTCTTTCCTTCACACTAATGCAAAACGAATGATTTCTACTACTTCCACACTAGCGGAGCCGCGGGTTTAGCTGGTATAGAATATTTAGTAACCCTTTTGATTTTTGGTTTGTTTGTTGTTGTTTCTGTTGGTTAACATTGACCTTAAAATGATTGATAACATGTCGTTCTGTACAGAACATTGCAGCAGGCAAAACCTCAGAGACAAATGCCATTAGTGGTATAGTACATGTGCAGATAATTCAGTCACTGTCAGACTATCGCTGTGAAATATTCAAATGCAAATTAAAAAAAAAATGTATGTCATGCAATAAGAAGCATGTCACATATTGCCTTTTCATGCCTTTTTGAATGTGGATTTGTGTATTTCAAAGTGACTAACATTTTCTGTATGAGTGCTATGCCACTAGTCCAGCGGCTTGTCCGCTAGTCGTAGTTTAGAGATTCAAATGAACGAATCTGAAACCTATTCACTTTCGTGTGCTTAAAATCGCGTAAATGAAAGTCTGCTTTTTGGAAATATTCAATATTATGGATCATTTTACTCTGACCAAATATTATCGTGTTTAGCATAACAGACAACAAACTTAATAGCCAATTAACAGCATAGATAGAAGTGGATTTAAATTTGGCGTTACTGTTTTGAAATCAGTTTTGATGTTTACTAACATTGAACATTGGGTTAAGTAGGTTTGTTTAATTTATTTGGCAACGTGAAAGTCAGGATTGGTGAAATCGTGATCGTGTTGAGGAAATGTTGACAAGCCGTAATATTTTTTTAACAGGTACATTATTACTTCCGTAATTGTGTTAAATTTGTTGTTATTTGGTAATCTTTATCAAACATAAAGATCGATGATTGTCACTTTCGAGAAATGATAGGATATCACTCTGTGATAAGGATTTACGTGCTGCAGAAATAGCGCATGTCATGAATGTGATGAGTCGGATATTTCCCGTATTGAATAGGAAATCATAGTTCAGTGAGTTTACAGTAAATGAAGATGTTATGTACATCACCAATTCGTACATAACTTGAAAAACTGGATGAAGCAATCAGAGAGTGAATGTCCTTGTGAAAATTGAAGAACGGTGGACAAAAATTATAGACTGCGTCGGCACCCCAAATCGTCGCCCCCCAATTTCCTTTAGACTTTTTGCCGAAGGTCCCCAGCTCCCAGAAGGCGGCGTTATCACCTACTTTGAGAAACACTGATGTAAAGCTTCTTTGACTTGTATTGTCACATGTTTGCATATTACTAATAATTATCCCTTACCACGAGTAAATGCAGAGTCTATTTTATAACTAAAATTATTGTTCTTGATTGTGCCTATTAATCACATTATTTTGAAAGCCTCAGGCTATTTGAAATACAATGAAAATCGGTTATAACCTCCGTCAAGGGACCTAGTAAAGGGATTCTTTATATCCGATTTTCGTTGTAAGCGATAGTGTCTTCTTTTTTAGTTATTTAGGTATGTAAAGGTCAATTCTATGAATTTAATACAAAAGAAGACAAGTAAATTGAATAAGATGATTAATTTAGAACATCTCAAGGCTTTAACAGCAAAATAAGTAGGTATGTATGTTAGTACCTATATACAACAGTACCTAAATTAAAAAACATTATGTAAATACATATTATGTATTGTCATACATATGTGAGAAACATAAAAACACGGAATATATTGGCTTACTCACAAAGAACATGGCTTATTTTTTGAAAAAGTCAGTTATTTTCGATTGTTTTTTTACATTTATCAGTTTGGTATGCACATTGAAATTCCTTAACCATAGATTTCAAAGATTCCTGATTTGAAGGGCTGCTAAATCTCTCATTAAAAATTAGAAATTTTTGTTGAGTACTGTTGAGACTAATTCTCGAATGGAGACAAAAAAATATTGTGTAATATTAACGAGTTTTAACCGGCAAAAGTGACGGTTTGTCGCCTTAGCCTATTTTTTTGTTTGTTAAGTGAATCATGATAAAAACGTCGTTTTAAGCAATATGTCGTTATAGCCGACGTCGTTTTATATGGTTTTCTTATATACAGGAATAAATATAGTTTCGCCGATAAATGCAAACTTCGTCGTATAATCCGATAGGTCGTTATATGCGATGTCGTACTAAATAATTTCTACTGTATTTGAAAATGAGTGGGAAACAAATGATGTGTCAGTATATGTAACATCGTACATCTCCATTGGACTCCATCATGTAGTAGCGACAGCGTCCCACTCTGACGTACCATTTTGTGATACAGACATGGCGTCGTCTTTATCTGACTTTAAGGAAATTATCAGATATGTTCATAAATTAGTGTAAAGATTCCTGATCGTACTGTCTATTATAAACTAAATTGGAATATACAGGGTTTGTCCGGAAACTAATAGGTCTCATTTTCTTCCGCTATGACAGTACTTCGGAGCGTGTGCACATTTGACTGGATTCGGTAGGACAGGCGACGTGTTTCTGTGAGTGGTGCAAGCCGAAAATGCCGCGTTCGTTAGAGCAGAGGTACGCGATTAAATTCTGTGTGAAACTCGGTAAATCTGCGACAGAGACGTTTGATATGATCAAGCAGGCTTACCCAGGTGTTGCTTTAGCAAGAAGTGGTGTGTTTCGGTGGCACCAGGCCTTTTTGGAGGGCCGGGAAGAGGTCGCTGATGTAGACCGTGCTGGAAGACCTTCGACTTCGACAAACACCGACAATGTGACTCGTGTGCGCAAAGTTTTGAACTCAGACCGTCGACTAAGTATTCGTTTAATTGCCCAGATGTTAAATTTATCAAAATCTGTGGTTCATGACATTGTGACACAGCATTTGAACATGCGCAAGGTGTGCGCAAAGATGGTCCCAAAAGTGCTCACTGACGACCAGAAATTGCGGCGAGTTTTTTTTTTTTTTTTTTTTTTTTTTTTTTTTTTTTTATACTCCAACTACCACGAAGGCCTAAGGCCTAAGCACCCATTGGGTACCGTGGGGCTATGGGGGATACATGGGAAAGGGGGGGACGCCACACGGACTCTGGCGAGGGAACACGTGTGCATGCAACATGCACACATTCTGGCTCCGCCTACGAGAACCGCCGGGTGGTACCTCCGCGTTCGACAGTCAGAGACCATCTACCACCTACGGACAATCACAACATCCATGGCCAAGAGAAACATTTCTCCTGAGACGGGAATCGAACCCGCACAGCGCACGGCGACTGATCAGGAGACCGAAGAGTCTACTACTGCGGCCACCGCTGCTGTCTAAAACAAACACACAACATCCATGGCGAAGGCGAGATTCGAACTCGCGGCCCGGCCGGCCGGCTGATCAGTAGCACGACACTCTGACCCACGCGGCCAACCGAGGTCCCGTAGTGTGCCAAGAAAATTTGAACATGTGTGAAAGTGACCCCCAATTTTTTAATAACGTAATCACAGGTGACGAGTCGTGGATCTTTGAGTATGATCCCGAGACAAAGAGGCAATCTTCCGAGTGGCACACGACGGCGTCTCCTCGCCCAAAAAAGGAAAGAATGAGCAAATCCAAAGTGAAAACGATGCTTTTTTTTGACATCAAAGGCATCGTCCACCATGAATCTGTTCCTCCTGGACAAACCGTCAACGCCAAGTTTTACGTGGAAGTGCTTAGGATACTCAAACGAAGGGTCAGTCGGGTCCGACAAGACATCGCAGCCGACTGGAAGTTGCACCACGACAACGCCCCGGCTCACACCGCCTTTCTTGTGAACAGCTACCTGACCAAGGCCGGCATCCCAACGCTTCCGCAGCTGCCCTACAGTCCAGATGTGGCCCCCCGGACTTTTTTGTTTCCTCGCCTGAAAAGGCCGATGAAAGGTAAGCATTTTGAGAAGACAGAGGGGATCCAAGCAGCATGCACCGCGGCTCTCAAGGCTGTTCCGAAGAATGCCTTCTGTGACGCCTTCAATGATTGGAAATCGCGCTGGCAGTGCTGCATCGACGCAGAAGGAGCCTATTTTGAAAGTATTTAAAGAATTGTAATGATTGGCTCAATACATTTTTTTAAATAGACTCAGTCCTATTACTTTCCTGACAACCCTGTATATCATCTTAAAAAATATAGTATCATCTATATTTGTTCTATGAGGATTGAAGTTGTTGATACTGCTACTTAAGGGAAACGTAAAATTTTTCAAGCAATACCTTTTTAAGCATTTTTAGTGATAGCTGCAACATTTTTGAGCACATTTTTCGATTATCCCCTAATATCATAGACAAGTTGAATAGGGAAAACCCAAATACCTCACATGCAAACGTTAATGCTAACCTCTTCTGTCATTATGACTTGAATGTCAAAAATGTGATCATTAAAGTTTACGTTTTTGTGATTGCCAACAATATCTACTAACATAAAAAAGTGTACATTGGATTAATTCTCCATAAAATTGAAAAAAATTGCCATTATATCACTATCCTCGCGTATTGGCGTAAGAACAATTTGGAAGATGTTAAAAAGATGGGATTATTTAGGTTCAGTGGATGTTTGATTTCGAACCATGGATGTTATGTTGTGTGTTGTCTATATCACGCATGTGGATGCAACATGAAAGAGAGGTACATCTCATCGTTGGACTCGGTTTACTATATCACCACCACCACTACTACTACTACTACTACTATAAAAGTACTACTAGGTTTAGTCTTACAACATATAATATTTGTATTTTAGGCGAGTCCATTGAACGAAACATGCGACGATCTGCCCGCTGGTTGGGAGGAGCGTCGTACGCCAAACGGACGGCCGTATTACGTGAACCACTTGACCAGATCTACGCAGTGGGTGAAACCCTCCATGGCCAAGGTAAGGGGCGTGCCGAGAGGAAACCGGCAGTTGACTCCTTCGAACGTGCATCATAATGAAGCTGGAGATAACAATAATGTAGAGAATATCAGGTAGGATGAAGTTCATTAATTTGATCTCTTACGTTTGATTTTCTTTCAAATCACGATAGAGAATGCGCATGTGACTCAAATATCGGTTATTATTTTTATTTACAGTATTTATTGCTATAGAAAGCCACCTTCAACCTTATTCTGTACTTATGCGCAATAAAATTACGAGAATCAATTAAAAAAAATGGGAAAACGCAGCAAATTTAAAATATCAGCGAGATGTCACGATCTCGGCAATTGTGCAGCCGATCTTTTGTCGCTATTGTTGATTGTCAGCCTATCAGTTTGATCAGTTCCAAAGAGTGCTTGTTGCCGGGGGAATTCGCCACGCAGCTATCTAACTACAATGGGTTACTCCTCTTTCACAGCAAAGAGGATAATTTTACCGCCAAGACGTCAGAAAAACATCCAAATAAAAATAGGACCTTTCAAAACTTGACAGGAAATCAAAACGGAAAATTAACCAATCAGAATAAAATAACAAACCATGAGTTGTGACGTGTGCGAATCGTGTCAGAGTTGCGTCATTGGAATTGTGTTTCTAAATAATAATAATAATAATAATTTATTCACATCAATTATAAATTGTGAATACATTGACATGCCACAAAAGGAGAATATCCTTGTATCTGGATATCATCCTAACACAACATACATATAACGTAGTAGTAGTAATAAAATGATTAGGCTAAAAATCTATATAATATAAATGCAATGTGTACGAGTACATTACTTTTGTATAAAGAAAAGATATTTATATGTTAGTTTTTTATAAATTACATAATGTTTATATCAGTATTCTGTAGCCTCTCGTATAAATATGTTTTTAATAATGAAATTAGTTTTTTTTAATATATTTTGGTAAGTTATGATATAATTGTGGGCCTAAGTATATAGAAGATTTCAACATTATTTCCTTTGTTGGTGTTGCAATAATTATTCCTTTATTTTTATTTCTAGCATCATATTCATAATTTTTATAAATGGTCTAATGTTTATTTTTATGGAATTCTAATATAACATTATACTAATGGGTCTCAAGATAATAATTCCATAGGTTATGTGGCATTCAACTGTTTGAAATAAAATTTTTAATCAAGTTTCATTGAAAATTTGTTTGTAATATCTGAGTTTATATAACAGAAATCTAAGTTTCTTTTTAATGTATTGGATATGTTCATGTTCTACGAAGTTGGCAGTCTAAAACAATTCCTAGATATTTATGACTTAGTTTATGTGATTTATATATTCGTTTTGAAGATTTGTTTTCTTTACTTTAGCTGATTATATAGTGGTAAATTATTTGTGTAAGAAGTGAAGAGAATTAAGTAGGTTTTTTTATAATTAATAGTTAATAATTGATTATCAGTCTGTTATCTGTACTAGATCTTTTTCAATTTCTTCTTTTAATGTCGTCCAAGTTCTTGCTTTATGGATGATGGTGGTGTCATCGGCAAATCCTATGTTTTCACTTTTTGTTGATAGATTATACAAGTCGTTGAAATACAGGGTGATTCATAAGTCGTGACCAAAAATGAAACATCATTCTACAGGACCGCATTTTAAGGGGGATATACAGGGTGATTCACAAGTTGTGATCAAAAATGAAACATCATTAACATGACCGCATTTTAAGGGGGTCTTCTATGTAACATTTTTTCCTCGAGGGCTAAAAAGATACGGGGGTGTTGAAGTTTAAATATAAAAAATATTTTTGTAATACCTTCAAAACCGTCAACTGGAATTGTGAATTTACTTAACTATTGTCCACATTCAAAAGTTTTTACCTAAAACTAACGTGCATCATTGGCTGAAATACAGGGGATTAGTGGCATTATTTTTACAAATAAGAATAGTACGCCACTGTTTTTTTTTTCGAAACGCGAACTTTTTCGAATTGTACCTTCAATTTGCTAGAAATAATTACCACTTGTTGTGTTCCTAGAGTGCACTGTTTTCGTAAAAATAAAAAGAAAACAAATTGCTGAACAAATTAATACTGTTGATCAGTTACAAGAAATAATAGATAATGCGTTTCATCAAATTCAAGCCACAACAAATTCTGCGGAAATACGTTTTTCTTTATTAAAACGATGCTGCACTTGTATCCGCCAGAATGATGGTCTTTTTGAAATAAAGCTTTGATTAACTAATTTGTTTTTTATTCTTATGAAAACAGTGCACTCTAGGAAAAAACACAAGAGTAATTATTTGTAGCAAATTAAAGGTAAAATTAAAAAAATTACGCGCTTCGAAAAAAGGGGCGTACTATTTTTATTTGGAAAAATAATGCCATTATTCAAATGTATCTCCGCCATTAATTTTGAATAAAGACTTTTGAATGTGGACAATCCTTAGGTAAATCCACATACCAAATTTTAGTTCATTCATACGGTTTCGAAGATATCGAAAAAATTGTTTTTGATTTTTAAACTTAACACCCCGTATTTTTTTAATGAAGCCCTCTAGGCAAAAATGTTACATAGAAGACCCCCATTAAAATGCGGTTTTGTGTGTGATGTTTCATTTTTGGTCGCGACTTGTGAATCACCCTGTATATATTGAAAAGAATTTGTTTGCTAGTTATATTGTCCATTTTAACCTTACGTTTTTTGTTATGCAAATAATTTAAATTCTTGACAAAAAAATACAGACATAATTACATATGTGCTTACGGTATTAACGTAAATAATCGACAGGATATTCAAAAAACATGCATTTCCCTATTCGTGCTTTGGGCTCGGACATCACTCCTCAAAAATAATTTGAAAGCCAAGGAGCGTAAATACCGCCTGCCAAAAAATGTTGTACCCAAGTATTTATTTTTGTCGTTTTTCAACAGATCAGCAGAACAGTTAAACAACAATAACAATAATAATAACGGCAATAACTCTACGGAAACAGTACAATCGTCGACAGTTCCCAGTTCTAGCGCGACCTCGCCTATTACTCCCCAGAAAGAATCGGTGGTTCACGCCGCACCCGCAGAAGGAAATACAGCTGACCCCAGGACGTTTCCCGCCACGCCTACAACAGCGATAGTACCTGCTCCTAACATCATTTGCAATGGCTCTAACAACAATCCGGCTGTTTCGAGTAGCACTACACCTAGCACCAGGTTCGTAATTTTACAACACCTATCAGCAAACTTTTTTTTATCTTAAACCACCACGAAGGCCTAAGGCCTAAACACCCATTGATACACATTACTGGAGTTGTGGATCCGAATTGCACTGACACCAAATTTTTCATCAGTTTATTTACTGTAAATAAGTCTACATCATAAAAGAAAAACAAAATGTTCTGGCAGTCCTAAACATAACAATATTCCGTTAGCGTACCTGCACCCACACCAACCACTAGCCCCAACAATAATTTAACACCGACGACGGCAGTTGCTCAGAACGTGGCCAGCCCTCAGAGAGCAGCTACGAGAGAGCGGCGGCCCAGGGCGAACGACAGAGGAGATGGTAGCTACAGGAGGCGATCGGCACGAAACAGGAACTCGTTGAACGCTTTACAGGCCGTAGCCCAACAGGTTACAGTCGCTAACGGAACATGCGGCAATGGCAAAATGGACCTGCCTCCGGGATACGGTAATAAGGATTTTCTTTATACTTGAAATGTATTAAAATACCATATCATTAATTGACCACATTATGTGCATACAATGTACATTTTAGGTCTTACAAATTATTTTACTATGTATCCGGATGATGTCATAACAGCAGTGTACTCATAAACTGAATAGAAACATGTTAAGCAATGTTTTCTTTAGTTAACTTTTAGAAGCAGTGACGAATAAATTATAGGCCAAGTTCCGTAAAACGGCAACGTATTTGATACATACACCACAAGGTGTTATTGATGCATTTGCAGATTATTTCAAGAGTGTATATGTTACTCCTCAAAATATTTCTTCTTCTGTTGATAGTGTCACCTCAACAACATGTACATATTTACTAAAGGAATTAACGGATGCTGATGTACTTATGTCTCTGACTAAGCTTAAACTCACGTCTGGTAAAGATCAAATACCTAGTTTTATTATTAAAGATTATGTTCATGTTTTTGTCAAGCCAATGCTAATTTACAATACTGAAAACTGAAATTTTTCTTGTTTGGAATATAGCAAAGGTGTGTCTGGTATTGAAAGATTGCGATAAATTGAATGTACTCAACTGCAGAGCTATAAGCATTTAAATAACTTCGCAAAGGCTTTTCAAATGGCAATTTACTATTTTATCTTTGAGAACGTTAAATCATAGTTACACCATCACAGCATGGCTTCATGAAATGTAGATCCACTAACTCAAACCTCCTGACACGCAATATATAGCAAAATCGATAGCTAATAAACAACAAATTGATGTTATTTACATATATTTTAGCAAGGCTTTCGATAAGTTAAATCTTCATCTCCTAATAGATAGCCTTCATTACTTCGACCTTAGGGTCTCGTTAGTCGACCTCTTAAGCTCATATATTTCCAATAGAACATAATATGTTTATTATATTGGGTATTGTTTATCAAATTATAGCGTTTCCTCTGGCGTGATGCAAGGGTCAAACCTAGGCCCATTGCTGTTTTCATTCTTCATAAATACCCATTTCACTACAGTGTCACAATCTACTTTTATCCAAAATCACAAATTTAGAGGACTGTATTCCCCTCCTGGAGGACCGAGATACTATTACAGAGTGGTGAGACAACTTTCTGTTCTTAAATATAGTCGAAATCACGAAAGATGACGATTATGTCATCATTTTAGTCTGTAGTAAAGACAAACAACAGCGATTTGTGAATATTTTTAATGAAGTTTCAGATATGTTAGACAGATACAAACAGAATTTTATTGTCGAAACAAGCTGTATTGCTAATTTGCATGTATCCGATAAAGATAGACGATATTTTCATGTTGTATGATCGATCATGGTTAGGTTATGTTAGAGCAGGTTAGGTTGTTTTAGAATAATACTTTGGTTTTTGGTGCTCCTGTCTTAAGGTATTCTACTCATAACTGTTTTTTTTTCAAAACAAAAACTCTCCAATAAAACTATTATTAAGGTATCACTCAAAACCATGAAATAAAATGAAAATAAAAATAATCAGTGAAATAACCTAACTTCGCAAAATCATAATATAAATGTTCCTGGCATCGTGATTTTATCATCGACGTACGTCCATTGGTTACTTCAGTACAATTTATGGTATGATGTAATAGTCATCTTTCGTGATTTTGACTATAGCTCACAGTGTAAAGTTTGTACATATAGTAGCAAAATGAACTCGATTATCTTTGATTATCCTATAAATAATGCCGTTTTGGAGACTAAAGATCTTGGTGTAAGATTTTCTTGAGGGTTGGATTCTATTCAATGACCTAGCACTAAATACTCTCCTTATTTCGCTGCTGCAACCAAAACTTGAGTATGCTTCTTTGATATGGAACCTGTTCTATGCATAAAAGAAGCACCAGAACTTCTAAAGAGGTTGAATTTTTGTATACTATGTTTAAATTCGAGGGCTCTTACTTTCTACTGCAGCACCTCCCTTTCCAACATATTATTTTATTCGCTGCTATAATCTATATGCAATAATTATTGTTCGATAGTAGACATTAATTTCAATTGTATAAGTAAAATTTTGGCAAATTTGAGGGACTATTATTATAGCTGTTTTTTTTTAATTGCGTTTTATGTGGTTCTTGTATGAACACTATTAGTTCAGTTACCATTATATTGCCCTGTAATTGGATTAGTCTGTTGGGTAATTATGTATAAATAAATAAATAAATTTAACGTTAGGTGTATTATTTAAAGTCATATTTAGTCGCGAGTATTAATTACTTAGGTAATTAACATTATTTAGTGCATGGGTGGGTATTTCTGTAGAGTTTGATATTTGTTTAGATATCTGTGTACATAACAAAATACTTCAAAAATATAAATTGATGGATGGTGGTAATATTTGTAGACTTTTGACGTGATTTCTGCACGTTGATCCATAACTGGAATTTGTGATTATCCTCAAAACACCTTTTTGTAACATGAGAACTTTGTCAGACACTACTGAGTTTGGCCAGAGCATTGTGCCATATGGAACATGCTGATATACAACACTCACAAAGCATGGTTATCAAGACATCTGCTAAGCTTGCCTAAGAGCAAATAATTGTGTAGATAATCTAGAATGTGGGATGTCCAGTCTTGTTTTACTGGTTCAGATTTTACAACCCGTTTGTCCGAGGAAAATGTGATACATGTTTTGTTTTCATTTAGGGATAACTTGTAGGTTGAAAACCATTTTTTGGCTTGTTCCAGACTATCCACACCCGTGTTTTGGTCAGGTCTAGACAGAAAGGTGGTATCGTCTGCAAATAGGAAGCAGGATCCGTTAACATTACTAGATGGCAGGTCATTGATATATATTAGAAATAGCAGTGTGCCAAGCACTGACCCCTGTGGTGCCCCATTGCAAATAGGCAATTGGGCTGTAATTGTCGGCAGAATCTCTGTCCCTTTTTGTTATGAATAGGGATAATTTTAGAAAATTTGAATACGTCCGGGCAAATACCCTCACGTAAACATTTATTATACAAGAGCGCCAAAGGATCCGCTAGGATATCAAGAGAGCCTTTATAATGGCGCTGTTGAGTCAACAACAATAAATCAAAGTGAATCCTTCATAAATAATATCGCCCTTCTGACATCGAGGGGAAGTATCGGAGACATAAAGAGAAAATATAATAAAATTAAAATTAAAGTAATTCAAGGTCTTAATCGAAAAAGACGTTATCTACAATTACGAAGTAGTTTTGCAGAAATTTAGTTGAGAAACAAGTATGGAAACGGAAATACAACTTGAAGCCACAAACAATAACCAGCAGGCATATTAATTTGTGACTTTGGTCAGAGGATTTTGTGATTACAAGGCATCAACTAATATTGCCACGGACTCGAGCTATAGCTACGTGCCATGGTACTTCAACCACATGAGTCTTTGTATTTAGTTCTAATGTTACCTATGTTATTATTACCGCTTAAGGAATGGGCTGCTTGTCTCTAATTTTCAGTTAAATTTGACACATTATTTAACGATTTTGGTATTCCAGCTTTGTAAAGTATGTAGCAGTTTATTTTATAGAGGTAATGTCGAAAATCAGAAAGTGTTTAGTGATTATAGCAAATTATGCCTTTTTCCTACCCTGTATTTCCCAATAATGCCTGATAGTGCCCTATAATACCATGTAATGCCCCAGAGCTTGAAACATAACTACCTAGGTGGTTCGCTCCCCATAATATAGTTTCCCTAAATATAATAGAACGACTCCCACTGTATCTCATCAGTAGAATGCTTCCTAGAATAAAACACCAGAAAGTGATCGAAAATGGGTTCCCAGATTGTGCATCCTTAGAATCAGCCCATAGTCCAGGAAATAACTCTGCATCTGCTCGGGAAAATATTCTTATTAGTTTTATTGCATAATCTTTTCAAAGAGAAACGCTTTTATCGGATATGTATGTTGCGTGACAAATTTTTAATTGCAAAAAAATTGAAAAATTGTTTTTTCTATGTGCGTGCGGAAAGTACTCACTTTTAACATCCATCTGCGTGCAGAAAGTAGCACTTTTCCGTAACCTACTTTCTGAAAATTTTAATGCTGCCAAAGGTCCTAAAATTTTCAACGAATTTTGCGCTTTTATCTCGAATACTATCAACGTAAAAGAAAAGATCGTGGGAACCTTTTTTGTTCAGAATGACCCAAAGAACCTAAAACTGCTGATTATTATGAGCGTGGCTACATGAATAAGATTATGCAAAAAACTGAATCAGACTATTTTTCCAAGCCGATGTGAAGATGCTTACTAGTCTAGTAGTAACCGATATTCGCATGCAATTTTGCATATTCCAAATAAAAAAAACAACAATTTGGTGAATAAAGACTATGATGATGCGACAGAAAGAACAAAGGCATTATACGAAAACTTGCATATTTGTTTGTCAACTTCAATTTAACAAAGGTCAAATGGTTTACAGAACTACGGACGACCCAGCAAGGTCAAGTGTATTTTTATCACATCCCTAGCGGCGTTTCAACGTGGCATGATCCTAGAATACCAAAAGACTTGGCGTCGCTCAGTTTGGCATTAGATCACCTCGGACCTCTTCCGCCGGGCTGGGAAATGAGGCAGACAAATTCAGGAAGGGTAAGTTCTATTGCAAATGCAGACTTTTCCAAATCCTACATCAACTAATTAATAATTTGCACTTTAACCTGTTTGCTTTTTTCCACTAATAACACGAGAAATTTCCGTTACTCGCAACGCCCTATTGAAAAGTGTGTTTTTCCTTCTAGGGTAAATAAAAAAGGTCATTTATAATTGTATTTATCACTCTGACGAATGAGCACTGTGTTTTGAAGTGTTTGAGAATAAGTAAGAAATGGTTAACATTATGTATAGCTGCTCGAATTATTGTAGTAATAAGACGATTCAGACTAGATCATTCTGGTTTATTTCTAATCTTCACACTTCTCACGCCGCTGGCGAGGAAGCATTATGATTTATTATATTATTTTTAGACGTTATATGACATGTGCATCACGAAAATCCATTCATTTCCGGCTGTTTGACTGTCTATCCGCTAATCCTTGGACCGCCTATAGCTTGGGAGATACTGCTCGAATTTGGATGAAATTTTCACAAGGTCACTAAGGATGAAAAAGCTTTGTAATTTTTGAAAATTGGTCCTGAGGCAGCGGAGCTAGGAAAAAAAAATCGCTAAAACCTCGTTATAGCAAATGTGTTTAAAATAACAAGAAAAATACTATCACCTGTACTTGTAATGATTATACCATACTTTTTATGATTTTATGGAATAGGCTCCTGGACTCCGAAAAGTTGTGTATTTTAGTCTCTATTCCGCCTATGGCATTAATGATGACATGGCTATTTATACCTTGATTACATGTAACGAGTACAGTGGCGAGACAGCAAAATATTACTAGGTCGAGAGATTTGTACAGGCGAGGAGGTGTTCACATGTATCAGAAGCTTTTCTACGAATCAGTGCATTGTCGATCGGAAGACTAGTTTTGCAAATAAAAATGGATCGTAATGGCTATATGAAGAAATTTACAAAGTTACTCGTACCACTTATGATCGAAGAATTATATGAATTATTTCGCGAAAAAGAGATGCGTGTATGGATATGCATAAAAACCTCTTCCATTTCCTTAAGGCACGTGATGTTTGAAGTATACACATTACTGAACCCAGCCCCTGATCTCTTTGAACCATTAATTTTGTTCAATTCTTAACTGTACGTGGATCTCACATTTTTAATCTTATTTTTGACTTCTTGCACACCAAAGCCATCAATGTCCATTTCTTGAACTATTGCCACAATTGCGGCATCCCGTTTACGTTTATTTTTGTTGTTTGTCGACTAGAAATTCGTCAAGCAAGAATGCAATTTGTATTGCCCGGCAAATTTGACTGTCGGAGAAAAATTAATGTCAGTCAATCAGATCCATTCATTTACTCCATAGACATTCTTTTCCTGCCCTACCGGTGGTGGATCTGGCAATGTCGCCTCTCCCCGATACCTAACCCGGTCAGACGTGGCAACGCTGCATCAGCATAGAAAAAACTATGGCTGCGGGTGATGGTAATACGTATAATGTCAGATCACTTACCAAGGCCGGCGGCACGTCGTCTGGAGAAGAAGCAGACACAGCCGGTAGTTACGCAATCCGTCTGCTCAGAATAGTTTTAGGTTGGGAGCGTATAAATATAGTACCAACAAACAAATAGAGGGATTTTTATTCGTTTTTGGCCTTTTTCTCTGCTGCCTCTGGATCAATTTTCAAAAACTATAGAGCTTTTTGGTCTATCAAAATCTGAGCGGTACTTTTCATGGTATAGGCGATTATAGGATTAGCGGACAGACATACAGATCGATAGACAGACGGAAATGAGTGACATGGTTTTTCGTGATGTACATGTCATAGCATCCAAAAAACATATATCATTTTCGGAAATTTTCTCGATTATAATACTTCCCGGCCGGTAGGCATTTAATTTCTCGGAAAAGTAAATCGGTTTTGAAAATGAGCGACCTTTCAGATTAATATAGTCGGTCAAAAAGACAGGTTATGAACTTTTGCAATTAAAATTAGCGCTTTTGCACGTTTGACTTCATGACCTTTTTTATCAATTATATGAAGTTAGTATTCTATTCATATTATGTTTATTTTGAGCAATACTTGGCGTTACAACGACTACAACCGGTCATTTTACCGGCTATGGTAGAAATAGGTATGTATTAAGTGTTGGTATGTTCAGTGCTAATACTACTAACATTAGGAGAAATAACCCAGAGCAAATCTCTCCTCCGAGTACCCGGGACTCGGCCATTTCAAAAAAGTACTGCTCGATGCATCCCTAACGATTATGTTCACTAAGTTCATGCGAGTATTCTACATTTATTCAATTTCTCGGCAGATATACTTTGTGGACCACAACAAGCGCACCACACAATTCACGGACCCGCGACTGAACACTCAGATTTTGAACAATCTGCTGCGGCGACTGAACAACAATGCCGCCTCTACAACGACGATAGCGTCGCCTGCAGCGACCGGCGCAACAACTACCGTTCCGACCATCACGACTACCACCACGACCGCATCTACCACCTCGGGCGTGCCCACGGACACAACCACGGTAATGCATGAAAAGCTTGTAAAGTTGCAGAGAGTTTGTACTTCTGTAAGTTTGTATTAATCGTATTTGTGATCGTTATCATGAACCGTTCACTAAGGTAGGAACAGATGAGGCAATTTAATGCCTTTCTCTTTTGTTTCTCTCTCCATACGGCACTAAAACTTGAATAGCTATAGGATGGCATATTTAAACCATCGATCCCAAATTGTAAAATTATCAGACATTATAATTCAACTGAATTGAATATAAACGCAGGGGTACCTCAAGGATCAGTATTAGGTCTGATCCTATTCTTAGTCTATATCAACGATTTATTAAACTTGAGCATACATGGAAAATTCGTAGTTTTTGATAACGATTCCACAATACTTTGGCAAGGCAAATATGTAAATGAAAATAATATAAAAATTGATAGTGATATACAATCAATCAAAAAATTGTGTGACTATTACTTCCCTTTCAATGTTAATAAGACAAGACTTATGACATGTAAATGCTCCCTTGATTTTATACATTTAAATAATGAATTGATCGACACAACAGACAAGATCAAATTCTTGAGACTGACCATTGATCACAATTAGATTTTACTAATCATGTAGACACATTACTTACTCAACTAGCAACTATTCCCTTCATTATAAGAACCATTGTTTACAACGTAGGGAAAAGCGCAGCCGTATAAGCAGTCAGTTTTCTTTATTTGAAATTCTCCTTTGGTGCGTCCGTTCCCAAAATTGTTTAAAAAAGTTGCTTATTCTACAAAAGCGAACTATTAGGTATATTTTCAAATAAATCTAAATTTGAAAAATTTAATATAAGTTACAATATTAGACGAAAACAAGATCTTAAATTAGTAGTATCTAAAGAACTTGTGAAAGACTCAATTATTTAAAATGATCTGAAAATTTACGTGTCTTCCAAATGCTGTCAAAGGAATAAACAATATAAAGATATTCCGCCGTGTATAACTTTTTAATATGCTGCAAACCGAATTTTTTTTTATACTCCCAACTACCACGAAGGTCTAAGGCCTAAACACCCATTGGGTACCATGGGGCTATAGGGGGATACAGGGGAAAGGGGGAACGCCACACGGACTCTGGCGAGGGTACACGTGTGCATGCAACATGCACACATTCTGGCTCCGCCTATGAGATCCGCCGGGTGTTACCTCCGCGTTCGACAGTCTACCACCTACGGACAGCGCACGGCGACTGATCAGGAGACCGAAGAGTCTACTACTGCGGCCACCGCTGCTGCCTATTATACCTTATATGAGTTCTACAATTCACCTACTTAAGATCCACTTATGTAACTATATTATAGTTTAAAGTTAGATTTGTGATTAAGAATGATCGTATCCTTCAGGCAATAAAGCATCTATCTATCTTTCATACAGATTTTGAGAATAATTTCTGGTTTCATAAGGTTATACATCACACTTTTCGCGGGTGCTAAGGCTGAGACCAAATACACCGAGGATTGGACAATTTGTGGCTAGAAAAAAGTGAATTTCAAGCAGATATTTATTTTTTAGTAGTTACTAAACTTAATCGTATATTCTCCGTAGGGCCCTGAAAGTTAAAGCTATATGGTAATTTACAGGTTCCGAGAATTTCTGTTTTCATATAGTTATATATAATGGTATTCAAAAAGCTCCCCTTACTTATTTGTTGAATGGGTCAAGTTAGAAAGCTGAAGAGAAATGAGATTGGCGCATGATGATATATGTTTTAGCGTAAACCTGGCACTTGGAAATGTCAAGATGGCGGCTGGGCTCCATTTTCGCCATTTGGAGATGTTTTCTAAATGGAATCAGGGATCGTGTGGTACCTCACTTCTAAGGTCCTTATAAGTTTTTTATAACCCTAGAATTCTAGCATATAAAATCACTATCACACACTTTCAAAATGGTGATCTGGCAGGGTGCGTTATAAGATAGTCAATGTACAAAAACGCTCAACATTGACACCATGTCAGAACACCATTTTGAAAGATAGTGATTTTATACTCCAGGTTTGTAAAGAACCCATATCATGGCCTCCAGTCGCCATCTTGAAATTTTCAACTGTTATTTTCACGTTGAAATATAGTATTGATGCGTTATTTTATCATACAGAATTTCGGTTCCCTAGCTTGACCCGTTCAAAAAGCACTGTACTCTACGGCGTAGAGTACTCGCGAAAACTGATTTATAACTATGAAAACAAAAGCTTTTCTCAAAACCTGTGTATCATCCCTCAGCTATTTAACTTTTAGAACCCTGCGCGGAATATTACACGATTTACTGTAGCAACAAAAGATAAAGTTATGCTTGAAATTCAAAAATGTTCTAAGCTCAACTTGCTTATTTGACCAATCAGGTTCGTCAGTCGTATCTATACTTGAAGTTTATGCACGAACATAGTGGAATAGTTGACCTCCGCGTATCTCGCCGCGATGTTTATAACCATCGTCTCAGTTGAAAGCTGTTTGTTTCACTCACAATGAAACGACATCAGACGTGGATCAAGAAATGCGACGATTAAAGGGACAATGGTGCCATGATGATGCACTGTGGTTAGCTGAACTGCTCCATCAAGTCCTTACACTTAAGAACCGATTATTACCGTCACTTGTAATAGCTAAAGCGAAGCGCTATATTGATATTGCTCTGGCAAATTTTATTTGTTGTACAATTATACTCCACATGGCCGTTTGCTTCATTGCGACGTAACCATTGACATGTCAATATTTTGGTGGGTTAAATTTTTTATACCATATTGGTTATACATTCTTCATACTTCAAATGACCTAAATAATACTTTGCACTAATCTTTAGATTGCTTCTCTCGTTTAAACCTTTTCAGCCTTTCTTTTCCTACTATATCATAATATTATTTAACCCTGCAACCACAATAGCACCGTATGTTACTAACATTTAACATTCACTTTTTTACCACCATTTTTTATCTACATCCTCTTTCAATAATCATTTTAACGTCGGTCGCCCATTCCCGAGGCTTTATTCTGATTATTGTTAAAACGTCAAAACATTAATTACATTAAACTTTGTGAGAATAATAATAATTAAGCTCTTGCCGATCCATTTCCTGATTTATTTTTTGCCCCCTCTCCGCAATTTAGGATCTCAAAAATATTAAAGAGAGTTAGTTATACTATTCTAAAAGTTCACATTGACATTTAGGAAACTATAGCACTGTAGTGACATAAGCTCTACACTGCTGCAGATTCGTGAAATGTAATGCCTTTCACGTCAGTTTTTCAGTAGTTGGGTGTAAAGGTTTGCTCTATCAGAAAAAGACTGCAAAACTCGTGCTCTCCGTTTTTTGGTTAAATTCAGCTAATATATTCCTTATTGTCCTATTTGAAAGATACAGCTCTGTTACTTTGGTGTAAGGTAAAAATAAGTCTATTCTCAATGAAGGTTGAAATCACATCTTTCGAAAAAATCTCCACCAAACTTAACATGCCCTTGCCGGACAAATAGAATCGTCTACGTGATAATAATCATAGAAAGCTTCATATTACTGTATTTCAAAAGCAAAGTTCTAAAGCAAAACGTAGTATTTTCTCTGATTATACTTGTTTGAACAGAATTTTTTTAAAGAAAAATAGTAATATACCTTTGGTTCGTCCGATCACAGGCGGCCAACCATGGACAGCTGTATCGTGCTATTTGGCAACTCCTCAGCATGCTGTAGGCTTGGTCTTGGTGATCAACGAACGAAAGCTGAGTAACTCTACTCAGAGTATAAAAAGTTTGTTTTTTTAAGAATATGGAATTATTTGCAGTACCTCTAGTATTTTAAAAAGTGGAGAATACATATGTTGCAGTCAGACATCTCAAATATTGATGTATTTATGGTTATAAAATTGTCAAGATTATGTTTGTTAAACAGGCACCCGCAGCATTTTTGGCTAATGGACAAGCGACATCCCAAGCTCCAACGAGTCCCAGAACGCGAGCTGCTAGTAGTGTCCCCTCCGATGATCTACCTCAGGGCCTAATCAATGAGGGCGAACATCTGCCTAGGTACCGACGAGATCTGGTGGCTAAATTGAAAGTCCTGAGAGCGGAGCTTCAAGCGTTGCAACCACAAAGTGGTCATTGCCGACTAGAGGTGTCTAGACAAGAAGTTTTTGAGGAGAGTTACAGGTAAAGAACAAATTACAGGCTATTTTCCTTCTTGGAGCTCCAGTATTGCACCTACACGGTGTCCCATGTAGAACTGCACCAATCGATTACTGGAAAGTTGACGTTCGATAAAATTATTGAAAATTGGGGTTATTGTATAATTTATGATGAATTATCATAATGCTGGGACTTCCTGTTGTAACGGAAGTACATACTAAGTTGCTTATTTTGAACGCCCTTTATTTTTTTATTGTCTAAAATCTTCCCAATATTCTAAATTCATTAATTGTATAACATCCGATACCTAACTCTAAACGTGTTTGAGTAATCTCAGATTTTGTACAAAATTACAAGTACAGGCCCATAAAAGCATCATTTTTACGCATATTTTTGTCTTAGTGGATCGATTTGCAACAGTTTTTTTTATAGAAATCGGATACAGTTCCATCTGTCGACTTCATTCGATATTTGATAATTAATGTTCGGATGAAAATTAGATTGCAAAAAAGGCCAAACATTTTTTTCATATGAGAAACCTTTTTTTTGAAGGGAGCGGGGGCACTACCGGTAGTGCAGGAAAATAATGTATATGGGCTAATTGTATGGACCTGTTTAACTGACATTTTTCTCAGAGGGTCTAGTTGGTGCTGAACATAATCATTTATGGCGTTGCTTGGGAAGTGTAGAGCCAACCTAATTGACGCATGTCTTACTAATTATTAAAAGATTGAATGAAGTCTACTTACGTAGACCTCCATTTATAGAGGGCCAATTACAAGTCGTTCCACAAGGACAAGAATAATAAATTGATACCATATTTCCGTAAAGTGAGTGAGAAAAAACAGGCCAAAATCACCCCATTCGTGTGAGTGCAAGAGCGAGAATCATTTGCTGTAAGGATCGACTAGCCGAGTCTGCAGTTTTCCTTAAGGAAGTTAAGCTCTGCACATAGTCAATCTGTTTACTTATTTTGTATAGCATTGTGACGTCACCCCCAAAAACCGTGAAAAGAACTATACTATAGAAATTATTTGTCTAAAAGGATGCAGGTTACAAAAGTTAATGACACTATTTCATCAAAAATTGAAAATACGTTGGGTGTTCCACAGGGCAGTATCCTGGGACCACTTCTTTTTATTTTATACATAAATGATTTACCTGCCATAGTCAAAAAATGCAAAATTCAGATTTTCGCCGATGACACTATGATTTATATAATTACTAAAAATATTCAGTCTGGTATCTCTTATATAAATGAAGACTTGAAGCTTGCCTCAAAATGGTTAGCATCTAACAGACTAAAATTAAATGCAAGTAAAACGAAAGCCTTGTTAATCCGAAAAAAAAACAATGTACAAATGTTCAACTGAATATTGATGGTGAATATATAGAAAATTTTAAATACCTGGGGGTTTTTGTTGGCTCTCGATTATTTTTTGATATCCATTATGAAAAAGTTATAAATAAGATTAGTAGTAAAGTGGGATATTTATCGAGAGTTTCTGGATGTCTGAGTTCATATAGCAGAAAAATTACCTATAATACCATCATTCTTCCAAATTTCTTATACTGTTCAACTATTCTATATTTAGCAAATAATTCCATTTTTGAAAGACTGCAAATTTTACAAAATAAGTGCATGAGAATAATACTAAATAAAGATAAATATACCCCAATTAGGCAAATGCTTAGCAAATTAAAATGACTCAATGTAAAACATTTTATCAAATATCTTGTAATGATATTCATTTATAAAGTAAAAAATAATATATACTAAGTGACATATAAATCCGAACACCCAGTTTAAATGGTTTTATTTTAATAAAATTTTGTATAAGTACTTAATGAAGCATAATAAGTAAATGATAAAAATTTCTAAATGATTGCACTGCTTTAAAGCCCTTTGACCTTTAATAATGTGTGGATGCACCCTGATGTGCTACGCATTCTCCAACGCGCCTAGGCATGCTTCTGATCAGGTGGTCAATGTCCTCCTGTGGTATCTCATTCCAGGCAACCACCAGCTCCTCTTGAAGTGCTTCTATAGTCTGAGGAGGACGTTGCAAATTGAGCAATCTCCTACCCATCATATCCCACACGTGCTCAATTGGGGATAAGTCGGGAGATCTTGGTGGCCATGGTAACAATGAGACATCATTATGTTGAAATAAGTCTATTGTGACTCTTGCAACATGTGGTCGGGCATTATCTTGTTGGAAAGTTGGATCTACCAGGGTGTTAAGATAGGGTAAAAGATGGGGTTCTAGAACTTCGTGGATATAACGCTACGCGTTCATGTTATCTCTGATGAAGATTAAAGGTGACCTGGAACCATAAGCTATAGCACCCCAAACCATAACTCCAACAGTGTGATGAACATGTCTTTCAACAAAAAACTGTGGATTCCTCCTTTCACCACGTCGCCTTCTAACCCTGGCATGACCATCGTGCATGCCTAAACAAAATCGAGACTCGTCACTAAAGACAATACTGTTCCATTCCTGATCCCAGAGTGACCGTTGTCTGTACCACTCAAGGCGATTACGTCGGTGTTCTCGAGTTAAAGGGAGGATCCAGTGTGGCCGGTATGAAAACAAGCCAAAACTTCTCATTCGTCGGTAAACACTTCGCATGCCAATAGGTCTTCCGTGTTCGGCAAACCATTCATTTGCAATGGACCTGGTAGTGGAGAAACGGTCCCTTAAGGCCAATAATCTTAGGCGGCGATCTTCACGGTCTGTTGTTCTACGGCGGCGTCCAGTGCCCCTTGCTCTTTGCGTACGACCTTCTCGAAGCCATGCCTGACAACACCTAACCACAGTGTCTACACTTCTTTGCACTCTAACTGCAATTGCCCGAAAAGAAAGTCCAGCTTCCCGAAGTCCCACTATACGGCCCCTATCAAACTCACTAAGTTGACGAAATCGTACAGGTCTCCGTACTCTAGGCATCGTAACCGATCGTAAAGGATGTCAAGAACCAAAATCCGCCAACGTTGATTCTTTACTGCGGCTGAAATATTCATTTTTAGAGCGTTAGTGAATTAAAAAAAAGCAGTATAAAAACCGGAATGTCCAACTGATAAGGCTGAAAAATTTTTTACTTGTTATTTACAGTAAGATAAATACATTCACCAACTTTTATTAAAATAAAACCATTTAAACTGGGTGTTCGGATTTATATGTCACTTAGTATATTTCCATCAAGTCTAACTAATTTAACATCATCAAATGTCGACCATCATTTACATAATACCAGAAATAAAGATGAATTCCATTTAATGACCAAAAAGTATAACATATGCTACAAATCTGTATTCCATCAAGGGTTGATTGAATATAATAAATTATACTCGGAGATAAAAGACCAGAAAACTTTGACAAAATTTAAAGTAAAATTGAGAAATCACTTGTTAAATCTACAGTTATAGGTTGCCCAGCATTTACACATCATACACCATATGGCTTGAATTTACTAGTTCTAAGTTGTTTACAATTATTTTGTTTATGTAGCCAAATGTGGTAAATAAATCTTTCTACTACTACTACTATACATAAGTAGTTTGATGCTTTTGCATTCCTTGCGATTTTTTATTAGTAATTTGTCTAGGAGATATATTCTCATAAAATATCTCATACCTTCTATTTTCAGACTAATAATGAAAATGCGACCAAAAGACATGCGAAAACGACTGATGGTGAAATTCCGCGGTGAGGAAGGTCTGGATTATGGGGGCGTGGCTCGCGAATGGCTGCACTTGCTGTCCAGGGAGATGTTGAACCCGCAGTACGGACTGTTCCAGTACAGTAGGGACGATCACTACACGCTCCAAATCAACCCGGATTCGTCCGTGAATCCTGAACATCTTTCCTATTTCCATTTTGTCGGTAGGATATTGGGTATAGCGGTGTTCCATAACCATCAACTTGAAGGAGGATTCACCTTGCCTTTCTATAAACAGCTGTTGAATAAGCCCATTACTTTGCAGGATATCGAAGGAGTTGATCCTGAACTGCATAGAAGTCTTACGTGGATGTTGTAAGTATATGCGTTTTTGTCAATATCCAGTGTCCAATTTTCCAGCCCCCAACAAAACATGCAACGACTTGTCATTCCCAATCTCACCTTTCAGTGATTTTTTTGATTTCATTTTTCTGTTCTTTTTCGTGGTGTTACGGACAGTTTTAGAAAAGCAGCAGGTTACCAAACCATGAAACAACTGGCCAAAAAACCATGTAAATGCTGTAAAATATGACATTGTTGACAGTTGATAACACCAGTATGAGCTCCTCCAGGATGTGTGAAACATGACGTGACTAAAAGGCTAGTTCAAAGTACTGACCACCAGTGCAACGTAACCAGAAGAAAACTGTATCAATTATATATATATATATATATATATATATATATATATATATATATATATATATAAATTTTCATTACCAGACAGGCAAATGGTCGATTTTATAACTAATTAATACTGAGTTTGAGAGACGTGAAAATTTATACACTTGTTAATTGAAACTCGAGGAACTCTATAGGCATTCTTCTATTCGCGAAAATATACAGGGTGTATGTAGTGAAACAAAGTTGTAAGGTTTGAAAACATTCATCTAATGATGATCTGTAATGTGACCTTGACTATGAGCTTCAATTTTTTTTGAAGGTCAAATAAAACCTCTTTTTTGAAACCTGAAATGTAAATAGCCGGAACTTTTACGTCAAAGTATATCTTTATGACATGATTTTCATCAATATTTGAGGGTGTCCAGAACATAGGGAAAGACAAAATGTCTCGAAAGATACGTTTCATAAAGAAAAATGTTGTATAATAAGGTTGTAAAGTTTGAAAAGGTCAAGACAGTTTTCTTGAATGAAAACCCTTATTTTTGACACCAGAAATAGAAATAGCATGAAACTATGTTCAAGTATATCCATGACCTTGACTATGGTCATTACGGTCATTTGAAGATCAATTTAATTTTTAACGGGAGGCATCTATTTTTAATTCTGGAAGTGCAGAGTGCGGAAGATTTTAAGTTCAACTATATCCTTGCACATGTACCTGACCATGACCTTCAAGGTTTATTTAAGATCAGATAAATTTTCAACTCCATACATTTGGTTGAAGATATAAAAAACGAAACATTCATTTATTGCTGCTTTGAAATGTTGCATAAAAATATTCATTGCCAAAGTAACTATTACATTACTTTGAATATTGCATTTCTTTCTCTGAAACCAGTCTATTGCAAAACGAATTACCTATACTTTCATTTCAGGGAAAATAATATTGATGGTGTGCTAGACACAACGTTTTCTGTTGAAAACAACAGCTTTGGTGTGGTTAAAGTGCACGAGCTGAAACCAGGTGGTGCTGGTATACCAGTAACAGAGGATAACAAGAGAGAATATGTTAGGCTTTATGTAAATTATAGGTAAGTACCAACAAGTCTTAGTTAATATACAAATGTAATGGAGATTGATAACAAGCTATCTAAGAAGTACCTCTTTTTCATTTGAAACGCCCATACATATTTGGTATAGGGTGTGGCATCGCTTAACTGCCCTCCGCGGCTTCGTACAGTGATGCCATCCGGAAATTCGTATACATTTGAACGATGTTCATGTTTTTGTTGACCTTGAAGTCGGTGGATTTTGGGTTTAGTTAAGCAGAAGCCTGGCAAGGCGTGGGTTTTAGATATTACGATTTACACTTTCAACAGAAAAAAAAAGCTACATGCCCTGCCACGGAATGGAGGAGATGCGGCTTCAAGTCCCGCTAACGCCCATTTTTTTCCTATCTCCCAAGTTTTAAAAAATAGATCCATATGGGGCTCTGTGGCGTTTAGGCTTGTGAGCTAACCCCTTTTCTTTAATTTATAATACCTCATATATGTATAGCTTATTTCATTCCATTCCTACATCAACCTTCCATTGGAAAACCCTTAATGACATTGCACTTTGACGACGAAGTGATAATAATGATCCTGTAATTCTCCAGATGTCAGGCTCGTAAGGGAACTTCCGCGAAAGTAAAATTATTAGAACATAGTGAAATTTGATGAACTATCTGATATTAAATTATTCATGTTACTGAGAAAAAAACAGAAGAATTTGGTTTATGGTATTTTCGTAGGTGCGAGAATAAATAGCAAATATATCTTTGCAGCAACGAATTCGAATAGATTCCATTGTTTGTTGCCAAAATCGCTTAGTTTCATTGCATACGTTTGGCTCATTTGACTACCAATGCCTACAAACGTGACAGTGTTGCTTCAATACTATAATAATAATAATAATACCGGTGGAAACATCTACCTTCGTCGTCTAATACCACAATTATCTGTAAATAGATAAGACTAAAAATGGGAATTTAATGGTGAAATTGTCAAAAAATTAACTTACGTCAAGTGCACTTGTTTGATCCTCACTACAGACTATGAGAATTAGTACAGAAACAAACCATTGACTGGCTCCTTCTACCTGGTCTGAATTCGTTGATATGCACAAACTTGATAGAACAATTACCAAGCTACGCTCATATTCGGATTTACCATAAATTGTGTGAATTTAAACACCAATTTCTTTTTCCAGATTCATGCGTGGCATCGAGCAGCAGTTCCTCGCCCTTCAAAAGGGCTTTACGGAATTGATCCCTGCAGCGACGTTACGTCCGTTCGATGAACGCGAGTTGGAGCTGGTGATCAGTGGAGTTGGGACGATCGACGTCGCAGATTGGCGGTCGCATACGAGACTGAAACATTGCACCGCCGACACGCCGGTGGTACGGTGGTTCTGGAAGGCGGTCGAGTCCTACTCGGAGGAGATGCGCGCTAGGTTGTTGCAATTTGTCACGGGAAGCAGTCGGGTGCCATTGCAGGGATTCAAGGCGTTACAGGTACTCACAGTCTAATGGGTTTTTATCAGTGTTGCAACAAGTCTCGATTTTTTTCGGTTAAATCGCAATTTTTATCAATTTCTACTGTTTTTGTCCTTAAATATGACAATAACGAACTTAAAATAATGGTCATTATTTTTCTTTATTCACCCAAAAAGATTTGTTGTCTAGTAGTGAATCTCTTCGGCGACATACAGAAAAAACTTGTCTTGATATGTGCACGAGCTGCTCCTTCCTTGTTGGAACAAGAAAATTCGTTCCTTTTTGTCACAGTTTGACGTATTGAACTATAGTGGTAAATCATATATGCAAGTCCTTGGTAGAGCTATACTGGTAAATCATTACTGACCTGTTATCGTCATTCTGACTTCTCGCTTGGCGTGGTCGTGATTAAGTTCTCTACAGACCTTCTTTCACGCAAGTGTTGTATATTCATTATGGTTTTGTACATTTTGGGGAATTTGTTACAGGGTAGCACCGGTGCTGCAGGTCCGAGGCTTTTCACTATCCACGTGGTGGATGTGCCTCCGCAGAATCTGCCTAAAGCGCATACTTGCTTCAATAGGATAGACATCCCACCTTATGAGTCATATCAAGTTCTTTTGGATAAGCTCACCCAAGCAGTAGAAGAGACCTGTGGTTTTGCAGTTGAATGAGAATTATTGAAAGGTTTGTGTATTTACCGAGAAAAAATACGTTTTGTTTTAATGTGATAATAGAAATGGGAAATGAAATACAGGGTAGCATAACTTCCTTTTTCAAAACTTTGTAAAACTCCATGTATGAGTCAGAACATTTGTATGTGTTTTTCTATAATGTAGGCCCATGACTAAAGTTTTATTTCACATAGTCTTGAAGATCAAATCGGATAGGCGACGTTCCCCATTCTCTCTCGCTCTTCTAATACGCCGAGTAAACAGATTGCTGGCGTTTGTCATGACACTTGCAGCATAGCAGGCATGTTGGCAATTTCTTCCTGGATGTTGGTCTTCAAATCTTGTAGGGTCCCTGAACGGTTCACATAAACACGGGATTTCAAAAAACTACAGAAAAAATCATATGGTGCCAAATCGGGAAAGCGGGCCGGCCAATCCAAATCGCCCCTAATTGAGATGAGGCACTCTGGGAAGTGTTCCCTCAAAACAGCTTTGGATGTACTTCATGTGTGTGACTGCTTTGTCTTGTTGGAACTAAATGTCCAACTCGTCTAGCAGTGGAAAAATCCTGTAACATGTTTACATACTGGTCCGAATTGGTGGCGAAATATCACACCGCGCTGTGGCTTTAAGAGAATGCAAAGGCCTTTGATGCAATTGTCGAGGATTGGTGTCAGCCTAGTAGCGCATGTTTTGTTTGTTGACGTACCCACATAAATTAAAATAGAATTCATAAAAAAATAGCGTCCTCAGGAACGACTTCGAGAAGATGTTCACATGCGTTCATCCGATAATTGAAGTCACGTTCAGAAAGTTCCTGCACGATTACCGTCTTGTAAGGATAAAAAAGAAGATAATGAAGAATTCTCACAGACCGATCGGAAAGTCCAAGGGCAACGCATGTTTGCCCGCAACATTCAAGCTCTCATTGCCTCAATGTTTTCAGGTGATGTATTGAGCCGAGCGACTCCAGTTTTTCGTCTTGTCGCACTTGCAGTTTGTCTTACGTAGCGACCCATGTATCAGTAGATTTCCGGTCCGGGACTGGGGCCAACGGATCTAAATTAAAGCGATTTCGACAGGCGCGCTGGTTTGCGATCACATAAGATCCGCTGGATGCCTCAATGAAAAAGCACGCTCCCCACTCTTCCAAAGTGTGATGGCGACTGAACTGTGTCGGGACAAAACTTTATAGTCCCCTCTCTGGAATGAGACCACTAGCGCACCGCTACATCAACCGACTGAATGGCGCGCATTTTAAAAAAGTAAGTTATGCTGCCGCGCCCTGCAGACAGCATCGTATTTCCTTGACGTTCGTTACCAAGGATGTTAGCAAAAGACTTATCTAAAACGGCATTGCAGATTCCGAAATGTTTTGAGTGTTTATTATCATTTAAATTCCTTCACTTATAAGTTATTTCTACCGGTCTGGAGGTTGTTGACATTACAAAAATATTTCTTTTTTTTTTTAGGTTATTCGTCCCATATCATACTAAAAAGCAGCTGCGATAATTCAGAAGTCTGTAGTGAAGACTGTATGAGTGCCTTCTCTCGCAAACTGCTATCACTGTTTTCTCAATTATCTCACAAGTGCCTGTTAAGCTAGTCAATATTTTGCACTGAGCAGTGATTGCATAAAAGTGATCTAAAGCACTATAAAACTTGGAAATACTGAACCATCATTATTTAACAGCTATAAATTAACTGCTCAAATGAGAAAATTGAATGTGGAATTTAGATGCCCTGATAGTTATCGTGTTCATAAACATTTTTGTGGTTTTCTCTTTAAAATTATGCAAAGTATTACAAAACCTAGATGTTTACTAAAAGTAATTCATGTGAGCAAATTACAGTTCAGAACTATATTTCACATTACATCAGAATGAAATGTAATGACTAATATTTTTTCTTCAGGCGGATCACAAATGTTAAGCAACAGGACATTATATATTTCGGTTTATAGTGCAGTAGACTCATCAGCTGGTATGCAGTAGCTTGAGGCTTAAATGTGAATATATTAAAATATGACGGTCAATAGATTAGCTTCAAGGTACAGTTTCGTTCGTGTTACAAAAAATTACTTTTCGGAGTAATTATCAAAAGTCTAGGGAAGCTAAATATACTCCATTTTGCTGTTTGTTCATGAGAAGCGGTGCAACAGCTTTCAATGATACCACTTGTGAGTCAGCATGTAAAGAGCAAACACCGCCAACGGTAACGTACATTGACGTTATTCAGTGGGTCAAAAAAGTATTGGCACACTCTATCTTTTTCTTCAATCTCAATAATGAAAATATCAATTTTTTGATATAGTCCGTACCATGAATGTTGGCGTACACGTCATCATTTGTACATTTCCGAGCAAATAGTTTTGAAGTAGGCACTTTCTACCATAGGCGAATATCCATAGGCGTGCCCCCGGAAAGAGATTTTTAGTAGTAAAAATGTACTGTGTCAGGCGGCAAAAAGTATTTTCTGTATATTTCGAAAATATTTGCTGCACAAAACGGCAAGTCTTGATTTATTGTTATTTGAATGCGCGATTTAAGGAACATATTTCAATTTTGCAGGAAATGAAGAAAAACAGAATATTTTCTGAAAAAGCATAACATTGAGAAAAATATTGAAATTTCAGTTTTAAGTTCTAAAATTAAACATACTCGAACATATAAGGTAATTAATAGATTTTTTTATTTGTACTGGTAGATAGCGTATATGAACACAAAGTTACGATGAATTACCAGGCTCTATCACACAACAATTCCTTCAAGCTTTCATGGGTAGATTTGACCGAAATAAATATCGCTGTCTTAAAAATCTTCATCTGAACTGCTGTCGTCTCCATTGATTGTAATAATCACTTCTGGCACATTATCCAGGATTCGTTGTCTGTTATACCATGCATCTATAACTGCCACCGTGTGTGTGACAACAGAGGCCCATCTTTCAGGAGTACAGTTTTCCAATACCTTCTGCCACATGCCTAGCACTTTGTCAGCGCCATAACCTTCCTCGCCTATATGGGTATCATAATATTGTTTTGCCTGTGCCAATATCAGTTCGATGGCATTGAACTGGCAGTGGTATGGCGGTAGTCGCAGTACCTCATGCCCATGTTCTCGTAGGTATTCATCAACAACAAATCTTGCAGGCCGAGCATGTTGCTTGGCCAATTTTAAGAGTTCACTTTTAAATTGGTTCCTCTCAAAATTAATGTTGTTTCCCTCCAACCACTGTATGACCTGGGCTTTTGTCCAAGATGATATTGGCTGCTTCTCCACTAATACACTGTGGCAGGAAGCATTATCCATAACAATGAGGGATGGCTCCTCCAAATTTGGAACCAGCTTCTCTTTGACCCACTTCAAAAATATATCGCCATTCATGTCTCCATGATAATCTGCCAGTTTTGAGGCAGTGCCATAGATGAGTGAAGCATTCTCCACGAACCCCCCACTGTGACCAGCATGTAATACAATATAGCGTTTGCCTTCAAATCCCCCAGGTTTTCGGGTCCCTTTTACGGATCCGTCCTGCCAGGATCTCTTCCTGTTCCCTTTTGCAAAAATCCATGTCTCATCTAAGAAAACAACTGTGCGTTTAAAGGGGGAGTTTCCATTTTCATTATATTTGCGCAGAAATTCTGCTCTCAAAGCAACGACACTGCTTTTCTCCATAAGCGCCTTCCGGTTGTCTTCCTGTTTATATTGGAAGCCAATAAGCGGCACAATGACATCTTGCTTATGTCCACTATTTGTTTGACGTCCAATTCTTCCTTTAATGTTCTGATAGTAAAATGCCTCTCTGTAAGTATTAATACATAAATAAATCGTATTAATGGAGACAAAAATACGTACTTTCTGAGTACATGTTGTAAATTGCATTTTTCACTTCCATCTTCACAGCGTCTGGTAAGTCTGCTGTTTTTGTTTTTTCCCGGGGCTTATATTTTTTTGTTTTGGAGGCAGCTTGATCTTCCTGGTCTACGGGCTTTCGGTTTTCTTTTGATTCTCTGAAAATACGTGACACCGTCCGCATACTAATGCCCATTGCGTGGGAAACACGCTGAAAATTTAATTTATTTATTTTATGATTTATTAGACTTCGTATAATGTCACATGTATTAGTGATAGGCATGTGAATAAACTTTTAGGTTCTGTCGATGGTGAAAAAACCCTACAACTTTTTTTTCAACGTTCGAGAGTTCGAGACGTTCGAGAGTTAAGCTTCGAGAAACCAGAGTTATTCATTGTCTGTCTTGATAGTTTTCTCTCCATTTGAAAATGTAATATAAGATATAAAAATTAAAGTATAATATAATTTTTTAATACATGTGTAACATAACAAGAAAAACATGACGCAATGAGAAAAAACAACGTGAAACTTTTTTCAATAATACATATAACCATACATATAAATATTACCTCCTGAATTGCGTCCACAGGTAATAAGGGCCCATTATTACGTTTTTCGCGATCAAAATACTTTAGTAGCTTCACCACCATGTCCCTGGCTACTCCATCAAGTCTTTTGCCGGGCATTTTTTATTCACTTTATTTACACTAATTGTAAAGAACAACAAACCGGAAAACGGTGCAAAAATCAACCGCGCAGGTCTGAACCTTTGCTATACAAACCGTACGCTCATGATCGTCGCTGTCACCGTGACTTACGATATAGTGCGACCTACCTAATAATACCGTCTTTGTCTAACACATTGCTGCGTAAGCGGCAACGCTCCCAACTTCTGTCGTAGCACCAGAAAACATATGTTATTGTTATCCAGTACGGTCGCGCTCACTCGTTAAAAGGAGATGGCAGAAAATCTGCCAGTCGTGGATAAATGCATCAAGTGATGACGTGTATGCCAACATTCATGGTACGGACTATACCTAGATTTATCTGAAACCTAAATCTAATTTTTGATGCCACTAGATTAGGCAAAGTGAAAATAATACAAGAATAATAATAGGAATTATGAATTTCAAGCGTCAAAACAATATGGCACAACAAACAAGTAGTCAACAAAATTTATTTACAGTTAGTATTTGTACAACAATGGCTTTGGGCCATAATTGATGTAAATGGTATGATAACAAAGTACTAACTGTAAATAAAATTTATTAAAAGCTATTTACATGTTTTTTAAATGTACCAATACTTTTTTGATCCTTGAATTTTATAATTCCTATTATTATTCTTATATTGTTTTTAATTTGCTTAATCTATTGCCATATTGGATGTTAGTTTTCAAATAAATGCAGTTTTTCTTATTGAGATTCAAGAAAAAAATGGGGTGTATCAATACTTTTTTGACCTACTGAATATTTTCATAGCAGCCAGTGGGATTCTGTATCTTTGAAGCTTTAACTGTGCCTAGTACCACAATACGTACAACATTAAAGTGCTTAATGAGATACTGTTTAGAATTATTGCTCACAATTTTCTCTTTACAGACACCTTGTACACGGTATGCTGGTTTTGTTCATATTTTGCAAAATATCCGAAGTCATAATGCAAATAGGTAATAATCTCTGTAGTTCATTTACCCATATCGTTAGCTCAAATACTGAATTATCTCGATATCACTACTGAGTTGTTAACGAGAGATGAACAGAATCAACCTCTAACCACATAATATAAAGCGGACAAATATTTTCAGATTTACTGCAATCTTTAGGTGTAGATTAGATGATGGCATATACAGCACCCGGAACTGCCTTTAAGATGTCATACATCACAAATATTTTTTTAAAATAGATTTATCAATAGTATCAATATCTTATACGTAACATACGCGCATTTGGTTCCATTTGTTTATATTTTACACTGTAGATATGATTTGAGCAAGTATTGACTTCATATTCATAATGGGTGTAACAATACTACTTTTTAACATTTTATTGATTAAATGAACTAATTTGCTCAAAAACTTTGAATATAGAGTATTTACAATGTCCCCTCTAGATATAAAATACATGTTCTTCGTCTTTTGTAAAAGATTTAAATAGATGTCTTCTAAACATCTAGTTAATTTAGCAGTTTAAACAAATGGAATCATTCCAGATAACTCTACATATCTTCTAGCTTTCATTTTGATGATAAATATTTCAGAAAATACTTAGGAAACATACGTACTATATTTGTAAATATTTTAATTATACATGGTGTCGCATTTTCTCCTTTCCACCTAAATATTTCAAGACAAAAAAATCAATTCGGTTTTCGATGCAAAAATGTTGGTGACTTTGACAATGATCTTTACTATGACCTTTGAGGTCATTTCAAGTGCGAGTGAATATTTTTAAATAGAACCCTTTCTTTTTCAAATCGGAATTGAAATAGGAGTAAAGTTTACGTCCAAGCGGCACCTTGGCGCTTGTCTATCGCTTGAAAACAATTTGCTCTAACAAAAATGTTCGATATTACAGTTGCGCGGTTTGTCGAGATTACCCAAAGGTGATGATACTGGAAATCGAAAAAGCAGGAAATTTTATATCCTAATATAATCTTGACCTCAATAACTTTCAAGCATGACTTTCAGGTTAAGATCACACCCTGCTTTTTCCATTTCCAATATAAAAATCAGAGGTTTCCTTTGGAAATTTTGACTTTTACTTGACGACCATGGTCAAGGCTATGATCAAGGTCACTTTTGGGTGATCACCACAAACATCATAACATGTACTGTTGAAAATTTTTGCTACCCCAGATTGTTCCCAATGTCTTCATTTGATCTTGAAATGACCTTAAAGGCAATGGTGAAGGTCATGACCAAGGTGATGTTCGGACGCAGAAGTTGCTCCTTTGTTCAATTCCATCTGAAAAAGGGTGGTTTTCCTTTGAAACTTGACCTTAAGAGCCGTAGTTAAGGCCATTGTCAATATCCCGATCATTTCACCCCTCGAAACCCCACAACTTTTGTTCGAAAATTTCTTTTCTATGATGCGCACTTATCGAACTATTTAGGTGGGAAGATTAAAATGGGACGCCGTTTATAATGTCAATTCAAAGCAATGTAAATTTTAGTACCAAAGCTCAAAGAAATCTGCTTGATAAAAGGCTGTCAGCAGCTAACGTGGGAAAGCAGAAATGTGATTTATTTATAAAATTTGTCTGTACATTTTTATGATTGGAGCTATTCTAGATTTGCATTAGGGAGGGTTGCAATTCTTTAAATAGACAATACCTTTTTTTAAATGTTTTCGGTGCATATCTATGTGAACAATAATTATTGTATTAGGCAAGTATTTTGCTTCTTGTTGATTTTTTATAAAAATGGTACAAAATACGACAGCAGTGGTTGCGCATTTGATTTTTTATATTGGTGTGACAGGTGTCCACTTCTAGTACGTTGAGTGTGGGTAAGAGGACTTTGTGCTAATGTGCTTTCAGCTATGTACTACATAGACCATTTGAAAACCCATTTTTAAGATAAAGATTGAGTCGAATAAAACACAAGCACAACTATTATAGAATGTAATTTAAAAAAAATATATTGGGAAGGCTTGAAACGTTTTTTGTCACCTACACTAATGGAAAAAATTAGAGGGTCAAAAATTTTTTTCGAATTTTTAGTGATTTTTCAGGATGCTGGATCTCAGTGAAAACTGGTCGTATTGAGATTTAAGAAACATATTTCGATGCACCAAGTTTCCAGTTTTAACCCTCTATTGCATGAATTTTGTTTTTTTTTGTTAAGATTTTTTTATTTCATGTTTTATGTATGTGAATGGTCATAGAAATAAGGCACAAACATTATTTTCAAAAAATTTATTCAGAACATAAAAAAAAATTTGTGTTCGCAATTGGGAACATCATGCGTTTAAGGATACATACATATAAAGGGTGTTCAGATAAGGACGCTCGAAAGTTAAAATGGAAAAAAAGGAAAAAAAATTAAGTCAGCACTAAAAGTCTATATTGATCGTAAATAGCATTCGACGACATTATGTATGGAAGATTATATCCTTTAAATGGCCACCGCGACTGCGCTGTACAGCGTGCATTCGCATGGTCCAATTTTCGAGCACTTTTCCGCACATTTCAGCGTCTACCTGTCCGAGGACGCGAATGATGTTGGCCCTTAATGCTGCAATTGTTTGTGGCTTATCCGCATACACTTGAGACTTCACGTAGCCCCACAGGAAAAAGTCTAAAGGCGTTATATCGCACGATCTTGGTGGCCAGTGCACATCGCCGCCACGCGAAATAATGAAACCGTTGAACTTTTCATGCAGTAAATCCAGCGTTGCGCGTGCGGTGTGGCACGTAGCGCCGTCCTGCTGGAACCAGATGTCTGTTAGATCCATATCGTCCAGGTGAGGCCACAGGAAATCATTAATCATGGCGCGATACCGATCTCCATTGACCGTAAGCGCGTTGCCCATAGCGTCCTCAAAAAAATATGGACCGATTACGCCGCCAGCCCAGAAACCGCACCATACAGTCACTTTAGCAGGATGCATAGCAATTGAGCAAGTCACTTCAGGATTTTGGTCAGCCCATATACGGCAATTCTGTTTATTGACATACCCATTCATCCAGAAATGCGCCTCGTCGCTGAAGATGATTTTTCGTGCAAATGCAGGGTCGACTTGCAACTGCTCTAGAGCCCATGCGGCAAATGTACGGCGCTGTCCATGGTCTTGCGGTTTCAATTCTTGCGTCAATTGAATTTTGTACGCGTGCAATTTCAAGTCTCGACGCATAATTGTCCATGTTGAGGTCTTTGGAAGGGCAAGTTCTTGTGCACGTCGCCGCAATGACTGATTCGGGTCTTGACGCACGCTCTCTCGCACAGCAGCAATATTCTCGATTTTCTCGATTGTTCTTACTGTTCGTTGCCGTACGGGTGTTGTTTGGTCTGCCACTGAGCCAGTTCTCTCAAATTTATTGAGCAGACGTCGAATAGTGGACTCAGCAGGACGGCCATGCGCACCATAAATTGGACGCAATGCGCGGAACGTTTCACGAACCGAACATCTGTTTTGATGATAAATTTTCACAATTTCCACGCGTTGTTGAATCGTGTACTGCTCCATGATTAAATGTCAAGACTAACTTAATAACCTCACAAAATTTGACAGCTGTATCCCCACCGGTTTGGGCGCGCGTTCAAATATCGAGCGTCCCTATCTGAACACCCTTTATTTCCAAAAGAGACAAAACCTTTCAATTACAATGGAATTCCTTAAAACAATTGTTGGTAGAATTGAAGCATAAGTGTACAGAACATTTGTCACATTTCACTCTGGATTTTCCTTTGCATAGAGGCGTTTTGCATCTTTCCCGATTCACTGTGTAAGACGGCCAGTGTCCGAAATTATCAAATTTCATTGCATCGGTAGGTCTGTTTTCCAGACATCTTTTTAGGGGAATAGGTACGGGAGATTTACGCGGAGAATTGACACTTGGTCGACCCCTTTTTCTTTGTGCGGTTTTTCCAACCCAACATAAATCTTGAGCTAAGGTTGTTTTGAACTCTAAAAGAGATACATTTTCATTTCTATTTAGTTGCCTGTTAATTCGTCTGGATAGTAGCCAGACATTGACAATAACAGTATCAATCATGTGAAAAAAAATTCGTAAGTACCATTTTTTGCTTTTTAGTTTTATGGGATACAATCCCAGAAGAGAATCTTGCAAGTCGACGCCACCCATATGCATGTTATACACTGCTACTATGTCTGGGCGTTCTATCTCCTTCTTGCAATTTTCCGATTTGAAAAATCGTCGTACTTTAGTAATTGGCTCCGTTCCAGAAAATGTGGAAATCAGGGAGACTATTCTATTGTCATACCACTGTACAGCATGGATAGACACACCGTCAACAGTGGCAGTTTTTTCAATATAGGCCTCTTTATTTCATGTCCTTTTCTGACATAATATCTAGTCCTTTTAGGCGATTTGACCTAACTGTTGCAACACTTTGTATTCCTAGCTTTTGTAAATAAGCCAACAAGTATAAGCTGGAAAAATAGTTATCATAGTATACTTTGTGGTTCATGTCTCGAGGAATGGGTCTACACAAACGTACAATAATGTTACTAGCAGCTCCAAGATTTGGTTCTCCTGGCACTAAAGTCAGATCTGCTTTATTACTACAAAGCTCAAAGTTTGAGGTGAATCCAGACAATATATACATTTTGTAGCCCCACTTGTGCGGTTTTTTTGGATTGTAAGTTCTCAGTGAAATTCTTCCCTTAAAGGGAATTATTTGTTCATTGCAAGATAAGTGCTCCTCGAACGGAATTTTTTGGCAAGCAGTTCTTATCTGATTTAGGACTGGCTTGATTTTATCTGTATTTTTAGTAGCAGAATTATTATCCGAAAAATGAATGAAGCGTTTAAGCTCTTCAAACCTATTGATATTCATCACATCTGCAATTTGAGGTATCCTAGTACCAGCAGCCCAGTGTCTCCTAGTGGAATGTTGTCTTACTAGAGACATCCATATGATTATTCCTAAGAACTGCTCTATTTCTTTTATATCTGTGGTTATTGGTTTGTTAGGCCTTTTCTGTGCACTATACAAGCACGTTTGTTCTACAACTTGTGCAAGAAATTCATCCGTGAAGAAAAATTTGAAGAAACTGTATGCACCATGTATCTGTAAGATGTCTTCTGGAAGATCACTTTGACCAAGAAATGTATTTTCTTGAGGATCTCTCATAGTTGTTGACTGCTTCCAAGATATATTATCGTCGGTTTTTGAGAAGAAAAACCTGGTATTAGGTGGAAGGCGAAATAGTTGTGCTAGGGGAATATCATCTGGGTCTGAATCTGCATCTTGCAAGTCTTCCGTGCCCAAATCATTCGTTGATATTGGTATTTCCATTGTAAATAAAATGAATATAAACTAATGTTGCCCGAGAAGCATTTTTTATCTCACCTTGATCCTCGTCATCTGATAGTTCCGAATCCTCGCTGTCAGATGGAATACCGCGAATAAACTGAACTTCAACCCTTTTATTACGCCCATAAAATGCACCTGGTTTTATTTCAGGGAAATCCATTGTCGTTTGGATCTATAATAGAAAATGCTATTTAGTAAAGAATGGAAGACAAACAATTTCCGTTATTGACCTTGGATGCATAATGTTCCCGAGCGGGAACATTAGGGTTATGTTACCTCGTGGCAACAAATATCATCAAAATTAATTTCATTTTGTACAGTATTATTCAAACAATAATAATTAGTAATAAAAAAAATAAAACACTCACCTAAATGCAGCAAAAGAGCTATTTCTTGTAATAAAAGTGAGATAAAAATCTGGAACGGCCGCTTGCGACGCTGTCAAATCAAATGCAAACCATGAGGTGCTCCTAGCAACATCTATCGGTTGAAAAACTATACGGAACAGTGCCCAATGCCTCAAGTTTGGATCTTACGCATTAAATGGGGATCTAAACGTTAGATGACGACACTAGACAAGCTAAAAATATAATGTTCCCGTTTGGGAACCATATGCAATAGAGGGTTAAAACCTTTTGCCAAAATAATACCACCCAATTTTGATGTAAATTTTTTTGACCCTTCATTTTTTCCCATCAGTGTTTTTACATCTTATATCTTGTTTACATCACACTAAAAAGCATCTGCAATACATTGTAAATGCAAAAATCGAATCATATTCGTATGCGATTTGTCCGGATTGCTCTTTCTTCTATAATCAGTGGCATATATAGGTATGTTCGGGGAGGGGCTTCTAGGTCCAAGACATTAATTCCCGCTACGGACCTAGAAACACTACCGTTTTTGTCGTTTTTTCTTGCTTTAGTACTAAACTTCGATATGTGTGACAAAATTTGTGTATGGGTTTTGAAACTTGTAGATGGTAGCCCCAAATATTTTAAACCTGTTTTTAAAGCTTTAATAGTCACAGCTGCCTCTCAAGTTATTGTTTACTAAACATGCTGTTGCGGATACGCTCGTTCGAAAAATCGGATACAGGTTACTGTCTTCGCACGGTGTGTGCCCACGAGGCAGCGTGGTGCAACCAGAAAACGATTGGAGACATCTTACTGGTGCAGGTGTTTCACTTGATCGCTGGGGGCACCAAGGCAGCTTGATAAAACTAGGGGTGTGCTTAACAGTGAAATTTTAATATCGGTGATCACTGCGACTGCTATCAAAAAGTAGCTGCTACTGCAAGCTGTGAAATTATCACTCTTTATATAACAGTAACTATCACCTAAAATTCCGCGTAACGTAATAATTAATGAAGTCCTCTGCGAATATGAATAATAAAATATTTGCGTTTAGCGTTACTTACTAGTCTTAACTACTCAGCCTTCAGCTTTCTGCGATTTGACCGTTCCGAGAATGAGTGAATGAGTAAAAAAATACCTTTAAATAGTATTTATAATTAGGACATGGCTATATGAAGTACATATATTTAATTTGGAAAAAAATATATATGTAATTTAAACAATTTACAAAATAAAAAGGTATGAACATCGTAACAAAAAATCAAAGTAACAAATAGTAAAACGTATTTTAAAATATAAAAAAAATTATGCGTAATAAAAATACAACAAAAACTGCTGAAATTATTCTATGTATTCGCATTTAAAAAAAGTAACTTGTTAACTTTTGTAGCAGAAAGTCGTGTTCTTCTGTCACTAATTATCAGGCTACTTCTGGAGAACAGTCGTTCACAAGGTACGCTAGTTGCGACCATACAAAGCTGTTTTCTTGCCAAATCCGCCAAATTCGGATAGAGTTGTTGATTATTTTTCCACCACAGCAGTGGATCATCCTTTCTGGAAATGATGGTATCGTTACAGTACCTATCGACCTCCAAAATAGCCTGAGACGTAGCTGTCCCCTTAGGAATAAGATCGGCCATTTTATTGTCAAACTCTGCCCAGTATGACAGTACATTTTTTTCAGTACTATTGTCGGTTTCTTTTTTTGCTTCCAACCGTGGTTGTTGTCGGCCAGTGCTTGCTTCTGCAGTTTTTACATTAATAATAGCGGTCACTAAGTTAATTACTTGTTTTTTTATATCTTGGGCATGTTCTTGATTTTCAAATATATATAATTTGAAACGAGGGTCCAGAAACGTGCATACACCGATTGTTCTGCTTTTTTCCAAATCTGGAAAACGCTGTTCTAAACCAGCAACATCTGATCGGCAAAATTTGTTGAATTTTCGCAGTAGTTTAAATTAATAGCCTTTTTGGTAACGGAATTTAGACCTCTTGCAATTCCTATAATTACGCTGCCCGTTAAATAATTCTCACCACTAACTTCCAAAGTAGCTTCTTCGAAAGGCTTCAACAATATACAGATTTCCTCGCAGATTTTCCATTCCGTCTCCGACAACATATTTATTTTTGGTGCGTTTAAATTAGCGACGGTACTACGAATTGCTTCTTGGATTTTTACAAGCCGTTGAATCATGTGATATGTTGAGTTCCAACGCGTTTCGACATCTTGTATTACACATAACGGATTGTCATTCCCTAGTTGCCTTTGAGCCTTTAACAGTTTTTCTGTCGCTTGTGGGCTTCTTTTGAAATGATTCACTATGGTTTTTACTTTCTCAATTATTAACGTTTCGGATTTCAGAGCACTGCGTACAACAAGATTTAATTTATGCGCAAAACAACCGAAATGTTTCCACATCAATTCCTTGGTTACTGCGTTAGTAATGTTAGAAGCGTTGTCAGTAATGACTATGAGTATTTTATCTAGCAAACTCCATTCTTCGGCGGTGCGTTTCATTTCAGCGGCAATCTGTACAGCAGTATGTTCACCTTCAAATTTTATACATTTAATTAATTTGGAACGCAATTTGAAATCTTCGTCTATAAAATGTGCAGTTATGCCCATATAATTCTCATTTGCCGTAGACGTCCAGTGATCAGTTGTCAAGCATATCTTTTTTACTTGATTCATCTGTTCCCGTGTACTTTCATAACATTTATTGTACATTTCATGAAGTAGAGAGTCTGATAAATATTTTCGCCCTGGCAAACTGTAATCTGGAGCCAATGCTGCCACAAAGTTTTTGAACCCTTCATCCTCAACTATGGAGAATGGTTGATAATCTTTAATAAATAATCCCATAAGGAGTTCATCGTAGCGCTTTTTCATAACGGGAGTAACTTTTTTTCTTACAAAATTATGTACTTTCTCTTGGTAAAGTGTGTGAACTTTATTCGGAATCAAACAATTTGAAACACTAAAGCTTGTTGATGCCTCGTCCGCTGTAGTGACCAAAACTGTCCCATTTGACGAGGGCATAGCCTTTCCATTTGTTGAATTTTTAGTTTGGGCTAAGGCTGAATCGGTACTGGTTGCATCTGACGGTGAAACGACTACAGTGGGATGTTTTAACGATAAATGCTTTCTTAAATTAGTTACGGATGTTTTAAAACTTAAATTTTGATAACAGTATCGACATTTCGCCATTTTATTTTCATTTTCTTCAAAGTGTAACCAGAGTTCACTACTTTTTCTCCTTTTATTAGGAGTTGCCATTCTTCTCAGTGCTGTAAATTATATTTAAATAAATGCGGATGTACCTATACGCAGTGTAACATTTACTTACCGGTACGACACAAACCAAAACAAACACGAATAAATACTTTGAAATACCTAATTGCGATAACAAAAACTGTAAGTTAGGTTAGCACATTTTATATCAATCCACCCTGCAAAGCGCAGGAATTTATACAAAATGAAGCAGTCAAACAGTAAACTGTGAAACTTTCTTTACCTAATTAGCATTTAGCAGTCGTTGATAAGCCGTCCAGCTGATAGATGGCGATCGCATTCACAAATCATAATTCATATTCAGAACAATTTCGCCTTTTATCTCGCATCGCACTCATCGAAGTATTGCAGTCGCACACGTACACGGTACGCAGACATGAGACAAGGTGTGCGACGTATGTGCGATACGCGCCTTCGCAGTTAAGTTAAACAGTGATATTTTCACTCTTTCGTGCAGAAGCGAGTAGCAGCTACCTAAATGATTTGTGAGTAATAGGTGAACAGTAGCAGTGAATGCGATCGCAGTCACTTCTCTAGATAAAACACAGCAGCACTAGCGCTTGTAGGATTGAATCTGCCTTTAACAGTCGATCCTGGAATGAAGGAAATGCTGGTTCGAATCCCTAATTTTCTGCCTATGACGTTGTTGAAAAATCGTATACAAGGAATCACATGACCCTCCATTCCATTTAGAAAATGTTACAAGATGGCGCCAAGCAGTCATTCTGAAATTTTCCACTGTTAAAATACAGTCATGCGTCAATTTCGCTACTCTACTTTTCAGCTTGCTAACTTTACTCATTGAAGAAATAAGTAGGGGGCCCTTCCTGAAGAGTACGGTACTTGTAATACGAATAAAATATGTGGAACGAAACATACTTTTCTTTAAAACAAAAAAAAGTCTTTTGAGATCATGTTTAATTTTTATCAACTCTCCGCCAATATTTTTCTAATCAACGTGCACCTCAAATATATTGATAAATACAAGAAATTATTTTCACGAAGGTGAAACTTTACGTACTTTCTTCATAAAATCACGGTTATGGTATTTTCAAGCTCTTCAACGGGTAAACAACGTTTTCTGCGCTATTTATTAAAATTCACCACATCAAGAAGCTTAAAAATATTCATATAACTTCTATGCTTTTCGCTTTACAAGTTGAAAATATACGCCACTGTTTACAATGTAACTGTTCTTATATTTCATGGTTGTGTTAAATTTCCTTCAGTGGAATACGAAGCCATTTTTTATTCGAGGAAAAGAACACGAGCACATCACTTTTGCAAAGTTTGTATTATCACAGCATAGTGAAATCATTCAATGCATCAGAAAATCTATTTGCAATAATTTTCCAATGTTTATCAAATATTAATCCCTCAGAGAATATTTATACCATATTTGAACCCTTTACTTCTGTACATGTTCTTTTACAGAATCATTGTGCTTGTTTTGTAAATTCTGGCAAGTCGTATGAAAAATTCTTGGCATTGAAGAACCAATTTTGTCATATCTAATTGTTGTTGCCAATGTTAACTTTGATATAAGCATCCACATAAGTTTTAAGTTCCAAAACGATACATTTTTCTTTGTCCTTGTTGACAAAGTATAATAAAGAAATACTCTTATTATGTGTAAATATTTGATTTTGATTAATGTTAACGCTACTGTACTATTTATTAGTGATACATTTTTTGTGGTGTAATGATAGGTTTATTTGTATATTATTGTAATATGAGATAAATATATTTGAAAGTATTTTGTAAATGCCTCGTTATTTTTGTACATCTTTGAGTTGAATGATTACCAGAACGAAAGTTTTTGCTACATAATTCAGCTTTTTCTAAAATTATTGAATTATTCATCTTGAATATGAGCTGGCACAGTAATACAGTCATGGCACTTTTAATATCTCAGCGAACTTATATTTCAAATGTAATCCAAGTTCGTTTACAGGAAAACTGGCTAAACTGGAATTGTCTATTCCCAGCTTGCCTCAAATGCGTCCAACTTTATTTCGAAGGCAGATTTTTGGGAATAATTCGACAAGATTTTAATTGCCATCTTATCAAAAGCTACCTGTTCACAACTTCAAGGTGTATTTAGTTACCGGCATGAAGACGTCGTTGGGGTCAAGCATACTAACGGGTGTTTCAAAGAAGAGTCTAGCATCTATTTTTCGAGAGCGAAACTTTTGACAACCTTTTGTAACGAAAACATCGTGTCGACTTGACTACCACGTTCTGGTCAGATATTTAACTTCAATCGATGAATTCCGGAGAAATCCCGCGCTTTCTAGATGTTGATCTATGCTTCTCGATGGCACGCGATGGGTGACGGCAGCTCGATGCCGTCGCGAACGTTCGCGTATTCTGGCTGCAAGCTTGCCGCTCTTGATACATGGCGGTGGTTGCCTAAACGTCAATATTGCGAGTGCGTCTTATCCACTAAGACTAAAGGTAGGAGTTGTCAAGGATGGTATTGTTATCGTCAATCTAGTTGGCGTAGAACATAGCTTAGAGCATCTGCTTCGTGGTTTACACAGTTCTGATTTTCTGGACTCTATATCTAGTCTTCACTTATGAGGGCATTACACTATTTTTCGGCTCAAATGATTAGAAATCAAACAAATGTTTTTTTAAATTCTTTTTGATTTTTGGGTCCTCCAATCAATCCGGGGCCCTGAGACGGAATAGGTGAGTGAGGTTATGTGGAGAAACGTATCTGCTTCTTAACCCTACACAAATGAACCAACTTTTTTACAGTACCTGTTACGATTGACGAGATGTCTTCGTGCCGAAACGAATCGCTCCGTGACAGATCTTGACCATCCGTCTAAACCGGATCTACGCCAGGGCGCTTCTTGTTAACCATTGTACAATGCTTTGTTATGGAAGCCTTAAACTGTGCCAGATTGTTGCATCCCCAAGCAGTGATAACTTCCAAAACTCTCGTCAAAGATTAAGTTGCCACTAACAAACATTGTTGTAACCAAGACCGATCCTTGGGGAAAAACTGCATTGACATTTTCGGATGAAGAGGAGAACCCTTCAATTACAACGAATATATTAGGAGAGAAAGACCTGCAAAGCTTCTCCGGGAGTCCATAGGATGCAAGTTCGGATAAGAGGTCATACTGATTGAAAGCTTTCGTAATATCAAGAGCAATGACATGAGCCTCTCCATATGACTGGATAAGTTTACGCCACAGTTGAGTGACGTAACCTAGGAGGGCTCCCGTTGATCGCTGGTAATCATACTGCCCATAGCTAATCAATCCGTGGTTCTTGAGATATTCCAGAAGCTCCCGATCCAAACTCTTCTCCTTCACCTTGCTGTTCATAGAAAGCATATATAGGCATGAAGTTGTAAGAGTGTCTGAACATGAGCAAATTTCTAATCATCTGGGAAAGTACCGAATTCGTAAGATATGTGCAAGAGATACTAAAGAAGCTTTGTTGATGTTGCCGGAAGGTTACTTCCCGCACAGTGTATGGAACCCTTGGAAACAACTGCTTTCGGCTGGCGGGTTTGGTTACAATCGTTCCATCCCTGTGCTTAATGCTCTCATTCTGCTTTTTTGGCGTTACACAGTACGAGTAGTTTCATTCTATTTGGTCCTAGACTTGCAATCACTATTACTCTATTTGCCTTCAGGCCTTCCGAGCCTGGTTTAGACACTCCCACAAAAAAACCAACTACTCGTATGTTGGGTTATCTTCATTGTACAACACACATCATTGGCATTCAGTTTTTTAAGATTATGTATTTCTTTCAAATGTCGGCTGCTACTGTGGTTAATGCGGTCAACTTCAGAATTCCAGAATGCGGCTGTGCTTTCCTAGCGGTACTTTTTTATATACCGAAGTAGCCGCGCAGGCAGAAACCTAAATGCTAGGAGACAGCGGCTGCTATGAGGATCCCAAAGGAAATTGCCTAAGGTTAGTAGAACTGAGAAAAGCTTCCTCTAGTATATTGTTCCACAATCTCGACACCCTCGGGTCAAAGGAGCCGTCGTATCGGCCAGTTCTGGATGTACGAAGTTCGACACGTTTAGGATGGGAGGCCAAAGTCAGCCGGGTCTGTCTGGTAGGCACATCGCGCGGCGGCATCATGGAGCAGAGCCCTGAGGAGCCAAGCCCGCTGGTGTGGCGGTAGAAGAGAGCTAGATCGCCGAGGGCCCGCTGGTGCGAAAGGGTCCCGAGACTGTCTGTTAGAGGAGAGTCATCGATTAGTCTAACAGCCCTCCTCTGGACAACATCAAGCATAAATAATAGCAATACTCGAGGCTAGACCTTAGCTGGGCCCTGTATAGAATGAGGTCATGTGGAGAAAAGTACTGCTTAGCCCTAAATAAATAGCCTAGCTTTTTCCCAGCAGCTGCAGCTATTGACGAGTTGTGTTCGTACTAGGATAAGTCCCCGATGATCTGGACTAGCAGTGCAGCTATTGACGAGATATGTTCGTACCAGATCAAGTCCCCGATGATCTGGACTAGGTCCAGCCAAAACCGAATGAGCGTTTTTTGTTCGTCAAGGTACAGTACTGTGTTTAAACTGTACAAGATTGTTGCGTCCCCAAGCAGTGACAACCTCCAGGTTTCTCGTCAGTCAGTCACTAGTCTTCTTTTTTCCAGCTCAGCGGCAGAGATCGGCTTATCGCTCTGAATTCCTGCATGCAAAGTGTTGTCATCACCAAAGCTGTGGATTGGGTTGATCGTACAGGAAAGGAGGCCATTGATATTTAAAAGGAACAGTGTCGGAGCCAAGACCGATTCCTGAGGAAGACCCGCGTTGACGTGGGATGAATTGGAGAACCTGTCAATTACGACCGATAACTTGCGGGTCAGATAGAATGGCATCCACCTATCTGCAAAGCTTCTCTGGGACGCCATAGGATGGACGTTTGCATGAGGGCAGCGTGCCATAGCTGATCGAACGCTTTCGTGATATCAAGATCAAAGACATGAGCCTCACCATAAGGCTGGATGAGTTTATTCCACAATTGCGTGACGTAAGCTAGGAGGTCCCCTGTGGATCGCGGGTAGCGGAAACCGTACTGCCTGTCTCTAATAAGATCGTTACGTTCGAGGTAGTCCAGAAGTTCGCAATTTATGCACCTCTCCATCACATTACTTCTAATAGAAAGTAGAGTTATATGTCTAAAGTTGTAAGGGTCGGTCAAAGATCCTTTTTTTGGGATAGGTTGGATATGAGCAAATTTCCACTTTTCTGGGAAGGTGCCGGATTCATAAGATATCTGGAAGAGACGCGAAAGAACTGAACCAAGCTCCGCTGCACACGTCTTCAGTACAAAGACAGGAATCAAGTGCGGATCAGAAGCTCTTTTTATGTTATGACTTAGTAGTAAAATGTGTGAAAATTTCATCCAAATCTGACCAAAAAAATCGGTAAAATGTCAACTTGTGAATCTCCGCTAGTTCAAAGGTGATATTTTATTGGAAAATCTATATAATTTCAAAAAACCTGCAAAATTTCGTAATGCCTCTTTTTACTTCCCACGCCTACTGGCGAACATAACGAAAAACCAAGTCAATTTCCGTCGGTCTGTTCGACGATCTGTCCGCTACTTATAACCGCTTCTAATTAGAGAAGTACCGCTTGGGTTTCGACAAAATTTTTAAATAATGTTGCTACTACGCCAGGGATGCAAAAGCTTTACAGTTTTTGAAAATCGGACCAGTGACGGCAGAGAAAAAGGCCTAAAACGAAAAAAGTGAAAATTGTTCAAATTTTGTTTTTTTGACGTTTCAGAGGATCCTGAAAAATCAGAGGCAAAAAGCTTGGGGGTGGGGGTTGTAGCGAGGGGGGGAGGGCTAATCTCGATCTTTTGTTGCTAGTACATTTATACGCTCGCAACCTTGGTATATTTCATAGATCATAGACAGGCAGCAGCGGTGGCCGCAGTAGTAGACTCCTGATCAGTCGCGGTGCGCTGTGCGGGTTCGAGTCCTGTCCCAGGAGAAATTTTTCTCTTGGCTATGAATGTTGTGATTGTCCGTAGGTGGTAGGTAGATGGTCTCTGACTGTCGAACGCGGAGGTACCACCCGGCGGATCTCGTAGGCGGAGCCAGAATGTGTGCATGTTGCATGCACACGTGTTCCCTCGCCAGAGTCCGTGTGGCGTCCCCCCTTTCCATGTATCCCCCTATAGCCCCACGGTACCCAATGGGTGCTTAGGCCTTAGGCCTTCGTGGTAGTTGGAGTATAGAAAAAAAAATTCTCTGTAGATAAGCCGTTGAAAAATATACTCGGCAGTCGCGGACCTACCGGCCGTGGCTGCGGAGTGTGATGTTGTTCTAGTATGGTATAACACGTATTTCCGTCGTGACAGAACATAGTGTTTCCTATGTTGTGACCGCGCTGCCACCTCTGATCAAGTTAAGTATCGGGGAGAGGTGTTTCCAGATGCACGACCAGTAGGACAGGGAAATAATGTTTATGGACTTATTGTATGAACCAGTTTGACTGACTTTTTTGTCAGAGGGTGTAGCTTGTGCTGAATATAATCCTTAATGAACTGATAAGGTCGTTGCGTGCGAAGTGCAGAGTCAACCTACTTGATGCCATTTTTAAGTTACGTAATACGGGTGCCGTACTATCAAAGCTATAGACGGGCCAAGGATTAGCGGACATACAGATAGTCGGAAATAATGATATAGTTTTTCGTGAACATCCAAAAACGTTCTCATTTTTGAAAATGTTCGCTTTTATAATACATATTTAAACATATTTTAGATACAACGTGAAAATACGTACTTTGTATCCAGATACTTGTATCTGCTATAAGTTACATCGCTGTACGACATACGACAGACTGCATCGTAGAGTTCAAAGTGTGTCGCCACGAGTGTTTTGTTATCAGTCCGCCGCGACGTCGGGCGGCCGCGTTCGACTGTCCAGCGTTGCGGCGCACGCCTACCGCGACGTACACCCGCCGCGACGCTGATCTGCCGGCGGCGGCAGGCGTCGCGTCGTCAGTGATTGCGGGCGAGCCGTCGCGATAAGGTGGGACTAGCGGCACGCGTCTACAGACTACGAAATACACGCGGTTTGACGTTACGTCCCTTAACCGACACGTGCGATACGATAATCGGGGGTTGTATTTGTTCTGGTTTTTGCTGGTGTTTTTTGAGAATCCATTGGAGAAGCAGGTGGTTTCGGGGTGTACCATGCATTCCGCTCGGTTGGAGGATAAGGTAGAGCAGAAAATTATTGTGAAATAAACTTATAATTTGCTTCTATGCGAATAGTATGTATACTTTTTTATTGCAGTCTCGCAGTCTTCATTCGTTCCTAGTATACAAATTATTTTGAAGATAAAAAAAAAAACAGTAACTGTGACGTTGCGACCACCACTCATTGGTTATTTTATGCTACTGGACACTATATATACCATTCGTCATACAATACAGTATGTTATTAAAAACGTTATTGAGCAATGAATAATAATCGTCAACCTAATCCGAAGAAATATAACTGTTTCGTTACATCGTGTTGTTTAATGTTTATCAAATAAGTAGGTACACTGTCACACAAAAAAATTTATATTTAATAAATAATTGATCTATAGTGACTATTACCATACAAATAACGCAGTAGCGGTAACTTGGATCTTGGATGAACTCATTTTTGATCACCATTAAGTCTTTGAATAACTGTAATATGGGTGACATTTTACTTCCTACGGCACTGCGTGAGGAAGTATTATTATCGCGAAAAATTTCGAAAATGAGATATTAAGTTTTTTGGATGTTATATGACATCATGTCACTCATTTCCGTCGGTCTGTCTGTCCGCTAATCATTGGCTCGTCTTTAACTTGGAGAGTAATGCTCATATAGGGATAACATTTTGACATAAGGCTATTACTATGCCAAGGAGGAAAACACCTTGTAGTTTTTGAAAATTAGTCCAGTGGCGGCGGACAAAAAAGTAAAAAACGAAAAAATAAAAATAGCTCAAACTTCGCTCTTTGACGTTTCAGAGGATAGTGATCATTATTGACAACAAATTTAGGGGCTAAAAAATTAGGAGGTAGCGGTGTGTGGGAGGGTATATCTCAATTTTTTGATATTAGTATAGTTATACGCTCCCAGCCCCGATAATTCTATTAGCTATATTTCACATATCACACGTTTCCCCATACATTTGTCGTTGAAACTTAGAATGATAGATAAATGTTTTAGATATGCATCTTCTTTCTGTTATCTGATAGATTTTGATGCACTATCCCATCACATAAAATTTGCATTGCCGGCCGCATCTCATCAATGTTGGCTATGAGGCTAGTGAGGTCATCCAGCATAATAATAGGCGTTATTATGTAATCTGAAAGCAGATCGAGGCCTATAATGGAATGCGGGATGACATACTATCTAAAGGATGGTCAGAAAAAGCGGAAACCCACGTGTAGGGTTTGAAAAGCTCGTCGCCCTTTTTACGACAGCACAAAATCAACGGGGAATGCTTTTCGGGTGGAATCTTTTATTTATGTTCCCATTATGAGCTGTGATGGCTCCGAATTGTCGTAAAAGAGAACGAACATTTCGGATTTATCATAACAGATCTGTTCACAGTAAAGCTGTGTATATACTTCTTGGGTTCATCTCCATCTTAGGGTTATACTTGTTTTACAAGGTTGTTTAGTAGCATTTAAGAGTATCAACATTTGAGTAGATGGATTGGAGGGAAACGCAATGATCTTTTAGGTCTAGTTATAAGAAATCATCGCAGTACGTTGATTTTATTTTTTCAGCCCTGACAGGTTATTGCGCATCTTCTAATACAAATATTGGACAAAGTCTGATTGCAAATTCATAATGATGATTTAGACATGATTCAAGATTATTTGCGACATCCTGTGCCGACGTATTATCCAATTAGGTTTCACCTAGCGTAGCCGATGCCAATTTTCCATAAAACATGCCGGAAACCATAATTTTAGTTAGGTAAAATCTGCTTGCTTAGAGGTAAATATGGGTGTTTTTCAAGGATCTATCTTAGGTCCCATACTTTTCAAACTACGTGTCAATGTTACAAAATACAAATTTTTTGACAAATTTTACGTGGATTACGCGGATGACGTTTCCTTTACCTATATCGATTAACACAGACATGCCGATTGTGGAAAAATGTTCAGTTTTTGATTTCGTTAATACACTTTTCTTAGTAGCTACTTATATCTAAATCAAGAAAAAACTGAAATAATTCAATACAAAACTCGCCAACGCCATCTTAATGACCTTTTAATTAATTGTAATGCAAATATCAAAAGAGCAAATAAAGCTGTTAAGTTACTCGGTCTTCTCTTTGATGTGTTTCGTAACTTGAAAACTGTTTTTGATAGCCGTCAATTCATTAGCCTGTATTATGCGTTAATTGATAGCAGACTAGCAGACTAAGGTAGGTATGGAATCTGTCTTTGGGGAACATCGACTCATGTAAATTCTGTTTTTGTCTCACAAAAAAAGATGATTCGGGTGTTTGCATCTCAAACACAACATCGTGTAGGATGGTGTTTATGAACGTCAACATTCTTACTGTTGTATTCCTCTATATTTATGAAATCAAACGGGAGTAAGGGTTTATAATCACCGACCAACTTCAGCTAGAGCAGATAGCATGACAACACAACTTTTCGGGAGTTGCCTTAAGCATTTTTTGGTTTCTCATCCGTATTATACCCTAGATAATTTTTTTCAGGACACATTACAGACACGTTCATAAGTATAGGCTCTTTTCACTATGACTGTTTCTTTTATGCATCTTATTTTATCCTATTTGTTTGTTGATCTGTGCTTTTGCTATTTCATCGTTTTGTTCTTTTTTTTGTATGATTATTTCCTATAGTGTTGTACAGTCAAATGCAAAATAAAGTTGAATCTGAAGTACGGAATCGCTCTTGTCGCGTACCGATACAATCATATTTAGTTGAGTGTATCACTGAGTCACCAAAAACCTAACAGTACTGATTAACAGGTTGACTGCTATGAAAAATCGTAGTAAATGTCTCTGGTGCCAAGTTGAAAAAAGTGAAGCTTTTTGCAACAGTTGCTATTCTGTCATTAATATTTTCACTTTCTCTTGTAAGCTACACCGAAAACCGCTAACTTAAGCTAGGCATGTATGCCACAGCGGTCTTCTGTCATAATAATTATGTGCCTATCAACGACCCTGGCACAGCATAAATGAATTTTGGAGGCAAGTGTGGAGCCGTCGCTTACGACCGTCATGGCATGATGGGGTTATTTGCAGGCGGTCGTATGCGACCGCCATGGCATTCCACCTGTTAGTGAGGATGTGGGTTCGAACCTCGCCAACTTCATCACTAAATTTGTCTTCCATTAGGCTAATATGCAAAAAGATCTCCATTATACAAATGGTTTCTATCATAGTTAACAGGCCCCAAACTAGCTTTAGTGCATGAACTACATATATACTTCATCCGAGGCAGAAGAGTCGAAGACAAAATGCTTCGCCGATCAAAAATGCTGAAAACAGCAGACGTGACATTCAAAAAACATATTAAAAAAATGGCGTCAAGTAGGTTGACTATGTAGATCCCATACAACGCTGTTATCAGTTCATAAAGGACTACGTTCTTAAACTCTAAAGTTTAAAGATTGATCAAAGATCAGTATTCAGGCTCTTACCTAGATGTGTAGCTGTATAGACAATAAAGTGAAGTAATCTGAATAACCCTAAACGAGAAACTATTAACTCCATTGTGTTCTTATCACAATCGTCTTACAATCATTTGATATTGCCTTTATCGACTGCCTAGCATAAAACTGTTGGAACATTTCGTATTCAAAAATTCCCAAGTACCCCGAAGGCATATCGATGAGAACATTAAGGTAAACGCTTTGGCTATAATGTAAACAATGGAAAACGATAAATACATACAAAGTATGTTCGGAAGATGAGTGCATGCTTTTGTGATAAAACTAGTTGTTTCGAACTTCGGAATAAAAAAATATACGTATACTGTAAAAGTGTTTCATAGAAATTATAATAATAGACATACGTTGTATGTGACAGGGTATGTGATAATATATGTGGTAGTTTTGTCACAATTCAATTTACATTGATTCAGCTTGATTTGGTGAGATTTCTGACCAAGTTATGGTTGAACCAAAAAGACATCCTCTTCGATCGCTCGCTGTCGTAAACTGTAACAATAACTTAGGATGTGTTGATTTTATCACCATCGGTGTAAATCAAAGATAATTAAAACACTAAGTCGCATCAAAATTGAAATAATTCTAATCAAAATGAAAACAAAATATTAAATTAACTGTTCGAACAGACCTTCTTTTGTTTGACAGTAACCTAACCTATTGTAGAAGACTGTGCAAACATTTTGTGGTGTAACATATTGTCCACGCGGCAGATTGCACGACCTTCTGCGTCACCGTTGCTAGGCACTGTAGTAGTGACCTTCGTTCTTCAGCCGGCTATCTATTTTTAATAGGTGTCGATACACACTCCTCGCGCTTCTCTCTCTCTCTCGTACACATTGAGCTCAAGCCGTCAGATAACTATTGTTTTCCTTGTATACATATACACTGGTAATGTGTACAATCATCACAATAAAATCGCGGTAAAGTTTGTCCCAAAATTTCTCGAATAAAGACTTTTTATCAGAAATTAATAAAAATGTTTTAGAAACAGTGCAATACAAATTAGATGGTTATTCAATGTAACTTTTTTTTAACCGTTGTAGAGTTAATTGATTTCATACATCAAACTGTTGATCTGATGTAAGTAACGCACCGTGGTTCAGCAAAATTGCCTAGAGCATAAGCGATATATAGGGTTATACAGGGTTTGTCCGGAAAGTAATAGGACTCATTTTCTTCCGCCATGACTGTACTTCGGAGCGTGCGCGCCCCGACTGGATTCGGTAGAGGGCGTTCCCAACTAACGAATGAGCGGCTGGTCAGTTGTCTCCGAGCATTTGGAGAGTCAGGACAGGCATTTTCGCGCGACTTGTTTCTGTGACTGGTGCAAGCCGAAAATGCAGCGTTCGTTAGAGCAGAGGTACGCGATTAAATTCTGTGTGAAACTCGGTAAATCTGCAACAGAGACCTTTGATATGATAAGCAGGCTTACCCAGGTGATGCTTTAGCAAGAAGTGGTGTGTTTCGGTGGCACCAGGCCTTTTTAGAGGACCGGGAAGAGGTCGCTGATGAAG